CATTCCTCATCCACTTAACCAGACTCATCTCGTTCGTGTTCTGGAAAAACTCGTCGGATGGAAGCCTTCCCATCACCAGAACCCCCAACACCACCCCGAAACTGTATATATCACACCTGTCTGTGAACTTGAATGTCTGATGGTATTCTGGTGCGATATATCCAACAGTTCCCATCACATTCGAAGTTGAAATATGAGTATGCGCGTCCGGCATTGCTTTTGCAAGCCCAAAGTCCGCAATCCGAGCTTCCATATCATCATCGAGCAGGACGTTTGCTGGCTTGAGATCTCTGTGAATTATGTGAGGGGTGTTGTTCAAGTGAAGGTATTCAAGCCCTGCAGCAATTCCCAGTGCAATTTTATGCCTTGTAAGCCAGTCCAACTGTCTTGTTCCGTCCGCAACTTGATTCAATATGTCTTGCAAGCTCCCATTCTTCATGAACTCATAGACCAGGTAATGACAATCCAGTCGAGACACGTGGGCTAGCAGGGGAATAAGATTCCGGTGCCTAATTTTCCCTACAGTGTTGATCTCCGATCGGATTTGACGCATCTTCTTGTTCATAAGCTTACTTTCCTCATCAGCCGTCAGTTCATCGGCATCTTTAGGGGGTTGAATTATCTTCTTTATAGCAATCATTTTGCCGTTGCTTCCTGGCAATTCGGCTTTATAAACCTGTCCACATCCACCGCTTCCTATGAGTTCCAAATTAGCCAAGCCATCTTCTTTTTCCAGGAAAGCCAAGTCCTCTTTACTTTTGATCAGAGAACTGAAAATCGCAGGACCGCCATCTTTGCCGCCACCTCTTACCACGGCCAAGAGCAGTTTAAACAGCAGAGAGAATATCAACCCGGATACAAATCCGGCCAGTGCTCCGGCAAAAAATCCGAGCAGCCACCCTCCTACCTTCTTCGTGTTATTCTTCTTCTTGTGCTTTGGTGTTGCAGATGGACCTGGAGCTAGAGCATTAGTTGGAGCTTGAGCATTAGCAGCAGCTGTGGTGTTGTTGTGGCCTTTTGTGCTTGTATTCTCAGCCAAAATGTAACGTTTTGGCACATCGGTTCCTGAAATCTCGACGCTTTCCATCGTTGGTAACGAGCCATCGAGGAATTCGTTTCCAGCGAAGTTGGATAACCGAAGATTACGAAAGGAACGAATGGAAGCTGGGATTTTCCCAGAGAAGAAATTGTCAGCAATGGAAAGGCTTTCCAGGTTGGGAAAATGCTTTAGGAAGCTCAAATTCCCTGAAAGCTTGTTAGAAGAAAGGTCGAGGGTGCGAAGGCGAATGAGGTTAGACAACCCGGCAGGAACTTCCCCGGAAAACCGGTTGTCTCCGAGGTTGAGAATCTCAAGCTTCCGGCAGTCTACGATTTGAGATGGGATTTGGTCACCGAGGTTGTTGTGAGCAAGAGAGATCTCTTTGAGCTCGGAGAGCCGCCCTATTGCCGGGCTCAGAAAGCCGTCGAGGTGGTGGGATTTGAAGACGAGCCGGGTGATTCGGAGGACGTAGGTGTTGTTGTCTGAGAGCCTGCGCTCACAGAAGACACCGGGAGTGTTGCATGGGGCTGGTTGACTGATATGGAATTGGAAGCCCAAGGTTTTTTGGATGGTGGAGAGGGCTTGGAGATTGGAAGGGTCGAGATTGAGTCTTGCGTGGATGAGGAAGAGGAGGGAGAGGAAGGTGAGGAGGTAGAGCTGGGCGGTGCTGCCGGATAAGGCTGCCATTTGTGACCGGAATGAGTTTGAACTTTGAAGTAGTACTAGTTCGTACTTGTGTGTTGGTTGGCTCGGTTGTTTGTATTTGTATTATATAGAAGGAGGATGTGGAATAATGGATGGAATGTGGAGGCCGCGGAGCCTCATTCACATTAAATTCCGTCTACGCGTTTTCACTTTGGTCATTTATCTCTAATTTGTGGGTTCATGTGCACACATACTTAGAAGAAGCTGCGAATTCTTTGGTTATTCTTCCATGAATCATCCCAATTTATAATGTTTTTTTTCAATAAATTATGGCTATGAAGGTCAAATATTATGAAAAGATCTTCATTTGAGTATAAATGTAAGAGTAGGTCGAAATTATGTTTTGATAATTCAGAGAAATGTGCTAGTTTTGAACCTGTGTGAGTTCTGTTCACACATTTAAAAAGATTAACGTTAAACTAGATTAACGAGATTAAGATTGTTAAACGCCACTATACACGCTAACGGTAGATTGCCAAGTGCCAAATGGATTGTGTTTCATGATGTCATGGAATGAGGATCCTCTTTGTGAGAATTTCGGAGATCCTCTAATTGTATATGTTTATCTTACATCGTGTGGTCAGTTTTCGTCAAGTACTGTTTATATTTAATTTTAAATAACAAAATTTACAATGATTTTTAATCACACGGTATACGATAAATGAATGTAATTAAAGGATTCTTAAGATTCTCATAAATTAGATCCGAAAATGATCCTCATTCCACATTTCCATGCTCCCTTCGCAGGGTTAAATAATTTCCTTGACTTCAAAGTTTCCAAGTCACCCCATTCAAATCTCCATCGGTCAAGTCAACACAAAAGGGAAAGGCAAGTCTTTGCGATGTTTCTGGCCGTTAGATCAAGAATTTTAAATTAATTATTTGATATTAATATGAAAGAAATTACAGAATTAATGGTTCCCGCCAGCTCACTGCGGGGCTCCACTCCCCCTAAGTCCTCGTCAAGGCGTCAACCCTCGTGTCTGCTTAATCTTAATCTTGTTGAATTACCAGGAAATTATTTATTTATTTGTTTTATCCTCTTATATTATATGCAGGCTTCAGCCACTGCAGTAAACACTGGTTTCTGATTGGAAAATATTTGCCACATAACGAGTCATTTCTCGTGACAGAATGGTAAACCTGTAATTTTCAAAGTTGTGTTTGAATATGTATTAGACAATGATTTACAAATGAAGATCAACATGTAAAAGTCTATAAATGTCATTTTATTTATTGTAGAAGTAAGTGTTGGGTTTTTTTTTATATTGAAAAGCACATTGGCATATAACGATTTATTCATTTGTATTAATAAATTACAGTTTGATGTGTGGCATTAATTATATTTGAATATGCATTTGATTGCTTTTGCACGTAAAAATAAATTGGTATATTAGTTAAAATAGTTCAAGAGATTAACATAATTCTTCAATTTGGTCATTGACAATGAAAATCGATAGAAGTGGTCATGAGTTTGTCCTGTACATCATTTTAATCATGAAAAATATGTTAGTATACTTGTTAAGTGGAAGAGTTGGTTTGACAAAAATACCCTTAAAAAGATGATCATGTGGTCGTTCACGACGTCATGTGACAATTTAACGAGGATATTAATAGATTTTTCACTGAATGATTAAAATGATTTACGGTGGACGGACACAGAAATTAATGCTATCGATTTTCGTTATCAGGGATCAAATTAAAGAGTTTTCCTATCTCAGGTTATAAAATTTGAGAGAACAAAGATTTATATAGCTATATTGTTGCTGAACGTTATTGTAACTTATGTTTCTGTCTATTTCCTATAACATCCCTTTGGAATATCAACAAAAGCCATATAATTATTTAAAATTGCCACTATGTCATAATTTAATATGCCCTTCCAAAGTAAACCAGAATTAATTAACAAATGAATACATAAACAACATATACCCAAATAACATAAGTGATTAAACAAATCAACCTTAACAAACAACGTTCATCTTCATCCTCGACCAATTAATGTGGTCCAGCTTTTGTGCCAAGTCGGCTAATTTGTCTTTTTTTTTTTTTTAATGGAGAAAAACTTACATATTTCAGGTTCATATCATTTGTTTATATCTCACACATTACGTGCAGTGCAGGTGAGTGTATGAACATGCATGAGAGTTTTTCTTCTTTTTTTTAGGGTATATCTATCTGTTGGCATCTCTATTTAATCGTGTGGCGGAATCTGATTTGATACATGGCTTACATACTCAGCCAGCACTCTTGGAAAACAATCAAATCGAGGGTCCAGGGGAGAATTGTCATTTAATCTTGTAAACTAATCTAGACCAAATTGGAAAAAGAGATACCCTAACTTCTATTTCCCCTTTTATTTAAATAATTTGACCTCTGGTTTAACCCCCTCCCCTATCTTGACGCTTAGAAAATTTTGAGCTCCAAAGCTTTGATATCTCATTCACTGCCCGAATTCTGCAACTGGTCTAGCAACATACCGAAATCATCTCGAGTTACTATATTCCCAGCAAAGCGTTGTGCTATCTCCAACCAGGTGTATTAGTCATGAATAACGAAATCCTTCTTTCTAATTCATTCACTTCAAGACAAGTTCTGAATGCCACGCAACATTATTCAACCAACCTCCACCGTATGTGTCTTTGGTGCGGCCACTGCAGAATTGTTTATACACTAAACACCTGTTTATATACGCTTGCTAAAAGACTTACTTTCATCTTTAGGGCAGCGTGAAACTAAGAAAGAGAGAGGTGCTTGAATAAGCTCACTCTTGGTTAGCTATGAAACAAGGAGTGATGAATCGCTAAGGCCAATCATTCCCTAGTCTCTCCTATATCCTATTGCTATTTTAGCTGGAATACTCTCTCACTTTAAAGTACGAGCCGCTACTTCATTTCGTATAGTGATGACGTTTTCTCTTTCTTAGCGCTCTGCCCTCCTATATACTAAGGGAAATCTAAATTATGCGGCTTTCTCTTATACAATTAATTCATAGTTCAATTTCTTTCCCAATCATTAAAACTCAACCAAACGTCTGGTTTTGTTGGAACGAGAAATAGATTCACATTTCCGTTTGAGATTCCGACCAAACAAACGTGGCCTTATCATTGACAATCCGATTGTATGTGATTATATATTTATGGTCAAATTGTTTGCTAACCTTAGAAGTTGGCTACAAAATAGGCCTACAATAGACCGTTAGACTTGAAGAGGCAAATAATATAGATAAGAAATAGAGTAATTTAAGTACTGAAAATATTTCAAGCACTATTATTCCACATTCAATTAGGGTTTATAGCAACCCAATTAGCCAAAGACTCAGCAGCCCAAAACTTGGTGCTTATAGAGTCCTAGCAATTTTTCACAAGTTCACACAAACATTTATTTTTAATGCATGCCAAAACATATAGCTGTCTGGTGAGAGAGCACCATAAGTAATGTAATAAAACATGATTAACAACAACATTATCATGCTTAAGTAACCATGTCTCAATCGAGACAGCAGCGGAACATGAAGAACTTCTCCATCTCGCGGCCGCACTCAGCGCAAGCTATTTTGTCCGGTATGTCAGTACCGAACCCTGGGATGACCAAACGAGTGCAGTGGTGAGGCGTGTGACGGCGTAGCAGTTCATTTTTGAGTGTTGGGACGAAGCCTGAGTCTGCAGCTGCGGTTTTCCATGCATCAAAGTCATCCAAAGTGAGTAGAGTGAGGTGTCCGTTGGCCCTAGCCGTCTCATTCGAGCCTCTCCACACCATAACCCAACCTTGGTCACTTCCGTCATAGCTAAGCAATGTCATCACCTCCCTCAGTGTGTCATCGTTCTCTAGAGTCTTGCGCTGTTTCACCTTTGAGCACCGCATGCTGTCCATTCGGGACCAGAAGAACCAGGTTGACACGTAATCAGGCCAGTATCGACTGAGGTTCTCTGTTTCGATGACCTTGTTCACTTTCCTTATCTTCTCCTTGGTGGATGTGCTTCTTCCTACGTAAACTAAGTCCAAGGAGATGCCGGCGAGTGTTGCAACATTTTTCGCTCTGTTTGTGAACTTTCGAATCCAATCTAAGTCATCGCTTCCATACAAGCATATGTATCTCCCTTTTTCTATCTGACAAAGCAAGCAATTCCATGTTAGTTTTAAATCCCTTCAAAATTCTTAATGAGTAGATAGTTTTGAGAACGTGACGATGTCATCTTATCAGACAGTCTGACATGTTATACTATCAAATAATCAATTTGAATAACAGATTTATATGGATTCTTATTCAGGTGCTATTCGAGACAGAATATTTTAACATGTCACGCATCACGTTTCTTTGTTTGTTGATGTGTTGTCCTATCATGCTTGTATATGCACTTTTTCTTTTCTATTTATACGGTTGTGGTTTATGCACATTAAACATTATAATTGTTTGTAAGTACGTTAATATGTTATCTTGTTTGATAGTCTAACATGTTATGTTGACAGATGATCAACTTGAATGATAGATTAGTAACATGAGTTCTACTTACCCCGTCTAGGATGCTTTGATCAATGCCATTGGCGACGAGCTCAAGCCTCCAGCTCTCTGCATTCCACAGGACTTGCTCTCTCTCATCGGTGAAAGGGTATGCTACATTGCCCCAAATCCACAGCATGTGGGTGGCATTCAGAGAGGACACCCTTCCTTGTGGATCCAATGCCACTACGATCATCTTCTTGTCAAATTGCCAATCATTTCTGACGAACTTGACCACCGGAGGTTCGATGATTAGAGGGTCATACACTGCATACCACTGCATCCTTGACTTCAAGTCCTCGAATCTAAAGCGCTTCGCTTCATCCCAAATATTTGGGTCCACGATGGGAAGCCAAACAAACTCGTATTCAACTTCCGGCCTGTTCTGCTGATCTTTGTAGATGTGATCGAGGACTAAAATCTCTTCGTTGCTCAGACTAAGATCTGTAATTAGCAGCAACACATGCTTTCTCCTCAACACTTCAAGGTTAAACTGTTTTTGCCAATGGAAGGATACATGAATAAATTTGAGGGTTGGTTTGGTTGGTCAGAATGTAAGAGTGGGAATACAAGATATAAGTAGACATTTACCCTTGACTTCGATGTGCCGATTTGGAGAGGTTGAATATCATCTTTGTGTGAAATTAGTGCGCGTAAATTCTTCATGTTGTCGAGTTGGAGGCTTCGGAAGAGGCGTCTCAGATTCTCATATTCTTCGTCATACCTCTTCGTCACTGGATCCCACAGTAAATTATGTTCAGTACTTTGTTACATTAAGTTGCAAGAGATAGATGTCAATAGTTCTAGAGGTGAAAATTCAAGAACTTACCAATGTGTCGGCGACAATTTTCAAGTTCGTTCGAGAGGTGATCATGTATGTTGTTCAGCTTATGAGCCAAGCTCGAAAGTTCCCATACCTCTGAGGTTGATGCAACGTACCTAAAAATGAGTGGAAAGGAGCTGCTATTAGCTTAGGCATAGCTCGAAATGGATGCGATGAAATATGTTTTCGAATGGCTTACTCGTGCCTACTGCCAGTAAGGATGGCAATGTGGGAGGCACTAGCCAGTATGCCTCGAATGACCCAATACGTAGCAGCGGGAATATGCGCCAAGGCAATTGACAGCGGTGGTGTGTCTTCTGAAACGTAGTGAGACTGCATCTTGACCATCTCGCCGTACTCCACAATGCGCTTGGTGACATTGAGAATCGCCTTGATGAGGGTGTCGATTGCCTCAAGTTGAGGTTTTACTGAGGCAGCATGCTCTACAATGTCCGAGAGTTGCTTCAAGATTGCCACGGACTTGGCTAATGGATCGGTAGTGCAAAGCTGAGCCACCAGCCAGAACTCTCCATAGTTCACAGAAAATGCAGCTAGGGTCAGCACCACTTTCGCTTCCCATGGGTAGCTCGAAAGGGTCCTGAGTAACTCGATTGCACTCGCGTGGGCATCAGGGCCGCCTGAGCATTGGCAAGTTATCTGCCAGTACATGGAAGCACCACGCTTATGATTTGTATATTGCATAAAAGAATGTAACAGAACAAAGTAATTTTTTTCCAATGCTGAGCAGAGAATTTAATATATCGAAATCAAAATTTAACTGTACTCGAAATAAGTATGATATGCGTTGCATAAAAGTTCTTAGCCTTAGCAAAAAAAATTCTATGCTTAAAGAAAACCTCGCAGTAGATCTTTTGTATGAGATAAGACAATCCATGGAACACGACATCTACACTCGACAATGTGGTCCTGTCCTCCACAGTCTCTAAGTGTTCTTGAGTACCCTGCACCACAAGTAAAGCAATTTCGTGACCGAAACAAGCAGAGCTACTGCAATATATGAAGTGTTCTCATGCAACTAGGCAAAAACTAGCACAAAATAAAGAGAACGGGGAAAGGGACTACAAGTAAAACACCGGCATGGCCATGAGAAGCGCGATGAAATATTTCCTCGACAACTTGGAGAATTTGGTTGACATTGACGCTGTTATCGGATCTTCCTGGAGTATGAGTGTCCCGGATTTGCCTCACCAATGAACTCTCATCAGTTAGTGATGAGGATGATGTTCTTTTATCCCTCGGATTCGAAAGCTGAATCTGCTTCGGAGCTGTCAGCTGTTGTTGGCGGCTTGCCATTTTTCGGAACTTTGAATTAAAATGCTTAAGGGAGAGTGTAAAACTTTGGGATCGAGTGGCTTTACGGTTTCAAGAAACTGAGCCTTTATATAACAAGAAGATGATGGAATAAAAGTTAAAGCCTTATGAACAAGTACCTTGCTTGCAATTAGAGTCTAATTAAAGTAAAAGCCAGGCATATACTTGATAAGGATACAAGTTTTTTGTTACATGGCAAATATGCTGCATTATCTTGAATCTGAGGTTTTCTGTCGAAAGGTATATTTAGAAATAGAGCTAATAGGTGAATAATGTCGAACACTCCAAAAAAGGAAAGATCCAAACTCGCGTAAATATGAATGAACAATAGTTAGTCGTTGATATGTATGAATCTGATGTGCTCCAAAACGCAAGATAAGCACATAGAGGCGACATTTTAAAATTGAGAGAATATGTTTAATCGTGTCAACCTCTCCAAGGGAGGAAAAATCTAAATTTGCACCAAATACACATGTACGATCGTTAATTGTTGATATATATGAATGTCACGGTCCGAAGCATCTCTCCGACTCCAAAACTCGAAATGTTTCTTGTGAATATATGCCATGTCAATGTGCATACCTCAGTCATTTTAGGGCTAACAGTAACGATTAGAGAATTTTAATTAACTTAATTTCCAAATGTCTTAGTCGATTGATTCCTAAGAAAGAACCATAAACCCTATTTAAAACTTGGGAAATCAAACTTTTGTCAAGCATCCAATTAAACATTAGCATTCTTTTCTTTTTCTCCCTTTTTCTTTTCTTTCTTTTGGGAAATTACACTCTAAATAGATTGCAGGAAAATCTGCTCCCATTGGTAGTCTTTTCTGCATACTTTATTATTTTTTTATACTGGTGTGAAGCATGTGGACTTTTTTATATCAAATTAAGCAGTGAACTGTAAGCTTCCATCCCAAACCAGTAATGTACGATCTTGAAGAAAGGAATTATGTGAAGAGACATTTCTGAATGAAAGAGAAAAGCAAGGGACACAGGCAAAGTTGAGGTGACTGAGATACTATATACATGACTATACTAGGAGGAGGAATTTGATGGTACGGGCGCACTGTCAGTCACTGTGGCGATTCGTAACAATGCTACAATGATACGATACGGACAATGATTGAAATTTCTCAATACGGTCGGAAAAATGAGAGAAAGATATGAAGAGAGGAGAGAAGAGGGGGGGGGGGGGGGGGGGGGGAGTGAACTCTAAACTTCACTCTATGTCGAAGAAACTCTTAAATTTTGGCTAAAATATATCGATTTCGTCGATATTCCTGACATGTCGCCATATGACATTCCCTAAAGTTTCATTTTAAATTTATGTTTTTGGACAAGTTTTCATCATTTACATTGAAAACAACCTATATCAATATCGATATTTCACCAATACTACTGTGTACAATACAACATAATTAAAGTGCACCTGTATCATATAAGTTGTTCTTCTCTTCTAAAATTCTTCTTATCACGGTTTAAACCGACACGTAAGAAGGTAGTAAGAACAAAAGATAGACTAAATGCTTGAGTTTTTTTTCTTCATTCACTTTTCCTATTGTAGGATGCAGTGCAAGGGAGCAAAATGAACAAGAGAAAAAGAGAGATTCCACCATGCTTTTGTTTGGCATTTGGTAATTGGAAAACTTTACCACACAGATCACGTGTGCTCTACAGTATACATGCTTGTTTGATCCCCAAGGCATGAAATAAAATTGGGCACCTCCAACCATGGACCACCATATAAAGACATGGGCTTGGGTTAGCATATGGGTTGGCCCAAGAACCAAACTAGCTAGGCTTGCAATAGAGGATGATGTAAATTGGGCTGGACCAAACTGGCCCAATCTCAATATTTTGACCCGACTAAAGTTGGGCCGAGGGCATTTTCATTGTTGTATTGCCCGTCCATAATGGTTTTTAGATTTGCATTTTCGTTCGATCAAGATTTAACCCTGACCTCAAGTTGCTTTGTTTGTTTGTTAAGCCTCGATGCCGGTTGAAGAGATTCCGAACGGGTTAGCGCTTCATTGGATCCGAACTCGAATCCGAGTTCGGATCAAGCTTTCCTTGGACTAGTATATCAAATTTTGGGCCCTACAAACCATCTCTACATCTAGGGCTTTAACAAATCCAGCCCAAAATCAAACAAACAAAATGGCCCAGCAAACTTGACCCAATATGTGTGGGGCGTAAGTCGGTGATTGGAAGACAGAGGGCCAGAAGACACGTGTAAAGTAGATTCTTGGCGGTGAAAGAAGAGAGAAGAAAGAGCTAGAGAGAGAGAGAGAGAGAGAGTTTGTGGCAAATGAAACGCGGTCTTTTTTTATCCACCGCAGCAGCAAGAGCAACAAGAAGTATAGGCCGCTTAGCTTATGGTTCCCTCTATCCAGCGCACACTGTGCAACACCGCTTAACCTTCACCACTCCCTCTCATCGCCATAGTCGTCTTCACACGTTCGCACTCCTTCCAACCGCCGCTCTCTCCTCCTGCCCCCTCCTCCGAAACCCTAATTTCCTCACGGGGAACCGTAACTCCCCCTTCCGCGGAATGGAGGTATCTCTCTCTCTCTCTCTCTCTCTCTCTCTCTCCCTCCCTCCCTCTCTCTCTCTAAACGGAGCATTTGAGTTTCTGGGTTTTTGTCGTTTCAGCTTATGACCGTATAAAAAATCAATCTTTTTGTTTGTATTGATTAGTTTCTTATACTTTGTTGTCAACCCATTAGAGCAAAATTTCATTTGTTATTTGGTATTAAGTTGGTTTTTATGATTTGTTAATTGTGGTATCATCCAACTCTTGTAGTTTTGTTCCCAAATAATATGGATTTGTGATCATTTTAGTCTTCGATTTGAATCGCTTTGTTGCTTGTTTGTGTTTGTAATCTTATTAATGATGGTAGGATTTGGATTTTCAACCTATTTCCGATGTGGGTTCTTCTTGTTTGTGTTTCATTTGAATCATTTTGTTAGTTTTGAATCTTTTGACAGTGGAAACAACACCGAAATCGGGTTTTTCTTTTCGCACTTGTTTTGTTTAATTTGCAGCGACACTGCTCCGGGAGTAGCATTGATAGGAACAAGGGGATGGTGGATCATCTGAAAAGTTATGGAGTGATTAAATCCAAAAAGGTTGCTGAAGTGATGGAGACTATTGACAGGGCTTTGTTTGTGCCTAGTGGGAACCCGCCGTATGTTGATTCCCCCTTGTCAATAGGTTATAATGCCACCATTTCTGCACCTCATATGCATGCAATGTGCCTTCAGTTGTTGCAAGAGAATCTGCAGGCCGGAATGCGTGCTTTGGATGTTGGCTCAGGCAAGATTGTCTATTACGTGTTTGCAGATAACACATTCTCGTAAATTAAATTCACGTTTTGACGTTTGAATACTATGGAAACCGGAATAGTTTGCAATTGATATGCTTCATGTTGAAGGCAGTCATAGGGATCCTGACACTTCCTTTAATGTATTTTGTTTTGCAGGGACGGGATACTTGACGGCGTGTTTTGGGTTGATGGTTGGGCCGCAAGGCCGTGCAGTTGGTGTAGAGCACATTCCTGAGTTGGTTTCTTCTTCAATTACGAATATTGAAAAAAGTGCCGCCGGAAAATTATTGAAAGAAGGTTCCCTTTCTGTACATCTCGGTGGTATGTTTCTGAAACCCAGGGTCACACCATTGGAATTGAAACCAAGTAAAAGGAAAAACAAAACTTAACTCCATCTTGTCAATTTGTAACGAGAAAAATTGCTCAGCTGTGGTTTACTAGTGTGTTTATGCACCGGAAACAAAACACAAGCGTTCCATCCAATTTGTTGCCAAAGTTTGGCTGCTATTCACATGATGTATCGAGTATTACCACTCGCAATACGTCTTTTTTCCATTATCTTAAGAACGATTTTACTCATGCAGAGTGATGATTACTCGTTTTATTGATTCGACAATTGTTGTTGCAGATGGACGGCAAGGTTGGCCGGAATTTGCTCCTTATGATGCCATTCATGTTGGTGCAGCTGCACCAGAAATCCCGCAACCACTTATTGACCAATTGAGGCCGGGAGGCAGAATGGTGATTCCGGTGGGAAACATATTCCAGGATCTGAAGGTTGTGGACAAGGGCTTGGATGGTTCAATCAGCGTCCGGACTGAAACTTCTGTTCGGTATGTTCCTCTCACAAGCCGAGATGCTCAGCTGCGAGGCTCTTGAGGTGCCATAGCCACGATCTCTGTGTACAGATAGATAAACTTTTGCCTGTTTGTACTATATTTACCCGTCGTGACGGTTTTGCTTAAGATCTTTAGTTCGTGAAATGAAATGATTTCAGTGTCATACAATACAAATGAAAATATAATGCGTTTCAATTGCTCCACGTTTCATAACAAGATAGTAACCACAACAGCAGTTCCCCAAAATTAATGGAGTCAAAACTTGGACACTACGTGTCGTTTCGGACTCGAACAATAATCCTACAAGTAGAAACCACAAAAAAAAAAAAATTCCTCGATGAAAACGGCTAACATATAACTCATCTGAAGAAAAAGGAACCCAAACGGAACTTAGGTTTCATCACGGCTTCGTCAATAAGGACTGCGCCTTTGTCTTTCTTCGGCAACATTTACTCTGATCGCCCTGCCATCGATACTCTGCAGCGCAAGCCAACTCAAGTAAGACGGTATTTACGTAGTTAAGCAAAATCGAACAAACGATACCAACCGTAATTAACTTAACTCCTGTCATGACAACTTCCGAATTTGGTTTATCTTTATATGCATGATGCATACGAATTACCTAAAAAAACTGTACATGAAGGTGGAAAATGTAAACGCTTAATACCTGTCCATCGAGCGCGCCTATGGCATCATTCATTTCGCTTTCACTGGCCATGGTAACAAAGCCAAAACCACGGGATCGTCCAGTTTCTCTGTCAAAGACGACTCGAGCCTCCACAAGGCTACCATGTTCACTGAAAATCTGCTCCAGTTGAGGAGTATCCACATTCCATGGCAGGTTACCGACATAGATTCTAAAAGCAGATTCAAATGAACGGGGTGGGCGTTCTTGGCGTGTTCCTCTTGGAGCAGCCCTGTTGACAGTCAAGAGCCTTCCATTTAAATCCTGTTCGAAGCATAAAACCGCAAAAAATTAGAAGCAAAGAACCCTTAAAACATTATATATAATCCTTTCATTAAAAACTGATATAATAGTATGGAAACATTGAGTGCAATATACTTGAATAATACTCTATTCATAAGCGGCAGAAGTTGAACAAGCAAGCTAGACATTGATTGGAACCTATGAGCAACATGCTTAGTGTATTATACATCCGGGAAACCTACTGAGCACTTCTCAAGTGAACAATTGGAAGGTTTTAAAAAGATTCACCATAAAACAAGTGAACAATACTATTCTATGAGTATGAGGTGCTTTAACACCAACCCGAGGGAGAAATTGCCAAGAGAACGACAGAACTGGTTTGGCGACATGTAATGCCATAGACATTGGCAACTTCATATGGCTTCGGTTTATGCATTTTGCAGGAAAAAAAAAATTGAGACTAAACGACTTGTTCGACGATGTTTAAAATAGCTAAGATGCAAAATTTTAGCACTGCAGGGTTGGGGGAGAAAAACAGTTTGGCAACCCAAAATTTGTCTTTTGTGTGCCAAATTTTAGCATTTGGCAACTCCCCATTGGAGTTGGTCTAAGAACACCTAAATTCGAATCAACAATGTACGAATCACCTTGCAGGTTAGACATAAGTATGACCAATTTCTCACGAATACACTGAATTTTTTACTTAAACCTGCACCCCAAAGCGATTCTTTATCAATTACCCTCCACAAACATAGGCCATGTTCATCCATCATTTCATTGGAGTTTACTTTATCATATCAAAAGATTATATCTTTCTCGAAATATATCAAGTCTTATTTCATTTCACATTCATGCCATAACAACATAGAAATCAACATTACTAACAAACCAACTTCGTGAACCCAAAATCTATAAGTGACTTACATAACGACTGAATAGTTCCACAGCCTTATCAGCTTCCTCAACAGTGCTCATGGTCACAAATCCAAACCCACGACTCTGATCAGTGTCCCTGTTGTAAATAACCTACGAACAACAAAAACACAAACAAAAAAACCTCAAATTTCCGAACACCATCAAAACCGAAAGACACGAGCTTTTCCAAAACAAATCCAAAGAAATTCAAAGCCTCACCTCAGCAACCTCGACAATTCCAGCCCTTTCAAAGAGCTCAGCCAATTTCTGACTATCAACATCAAAAGGCAAATTCCCAACAAACACCTTGGCCTCCTCCGGAGGATCGACATTCGACACCTCCTCTCTCTCCTCAAAGACCCCTTCTTCCTCACTTCCCTCCGCGCCGTCAATGGTGAGCGTGCTGTCTTCCTGACCCCAGTCCGAGGTCTGGGCCACAAAGGCGGCGACGGAGGAGAAGTGGGTTTTTCTCCCGAGGGGCAGCGGCAGCGAGAAGCGCGAGGAAGGGGTGCAGGAGAGGCGGAGCTTGATGGGTTTGGAGGGAACTGAGAGAAATGGGTTGGAGGTTTTGGCGGCGGAAAGGTAAGGGAGGGAGACTAGGCATGAATCCGCCATCGATAAGGTCTTGAATAGATTGGAAGTTGCAGAAGAAGCCATAGCCATTTTCTGTGGGAGAGGAGAGGGAGTGAAAGGGTTTTAGGAGGAGGTGTGAGAGGATAAGGGTGGAGGGAGAGGTGCCAGAGGAGTTCGAAGGAGAGTTCGAAGGAAAGAAGGGTTATTGGGAAGAAAGAGGAGAGAGGAGGTTTTGTTTTATGGGCTTTGGGATGTCCAAGCAAAAGTTGTAAAACCCAAGGCCCAATTTGTGACGAAATTGTGGGTTGAATTTAAAACTCAATCTATTCAAAAGAAATAGAAACAACATGAATAGGGCCCCATAATGTTATGGTGTAACTTTGTAAGTGATTTCGGGTTCGTTTGAGAGTGTTTCTGTAGGAGTAATTTTACTCGTAAGCGGTTTTGGACTTCCTGGTTTTCAACACCCTAAGAAGAAACACCATTGTATTGACAACGTAATTCACGTCTGTCAATGGCGGCACCAGCAACATAAAGTGTGCATTATAATGCAATTCAATGAGAACAGCATGCCAGAATTCGACCATAGAATTGCTATCTAAGTTTGGTTCGTCGTTTGAGCTGCATCACCTTTGCTAATTTCAACCCAACTGCACCCTTGGTTCGTCGTTTGAGCTGCATCACCTTTGCTAATTTCAACCCAACTGCACCCAGGAAGCTTAAGTGCATTTTTCCCGTTCATTGCTTCCCGCACTTTCCTAGCTTTATCCCATTGTTCTTTCGACGCATAAATGCTTGAAAGTAGCAAATAATTTCCAGTATTCCCAGGTTCTAAAATGAAGAGTTTCTCAGCAACACTTTCTGCAATCTCTACATTTCCATATGTTCTACATGCTGCAAGAAGGGCTCCTAATGCTCCTGGCTGTGGGCCCATGGGCATTCCCTTGACCAAATCGCAGGCCTCATTTAGTTTCCCAGCTCGTCCCAGCATATCAACTATGCAAGTATAGTGATCAGCATCAGGCTCAATGTTGTAACCTTTAACCATGCTTTCCCAGTATCTCATTCCATCTCCAACAAGTCCTGCATGGCAACAGGCTGTGAATACCCCAACAAATGTAATGCGATCAGGTTCAATATCTTCTGCCAGCATTCTCTGGAAGATCTCCAGCGCTTTAACCCCATGACCATTTGAAGCAAGACCTGTGATTATTGCACTGTAGGCGAAAGCATCCTTTCTGGGGATCTTCTCAAATATGGCGCATGCCTCTTCCATATTCCCACATTTGGCATGCATGTCAACTAGTGCAGTAAGCACTTGGTCATTCTGTTCTATGCCTTCTCTATCCACATATGTTCCAATCCAGTTTGCCAGATCTGCACGACCCAACTGTGCCAATGCAGAGATCACCGCTGTCATGGTGAAAGCATCCGGCTTTACTCGTGCCTTTTCCATTCTCCGGAAAAGTGAAAGCGCTTCACTTGGCCTCCCATTTTGTGAATACCCTGATATCATAGCCGTCCAACAAATCAAACCTTGCTCAGGCATTTCTTCAAAGAGACACTTAGCCTTATCCATAAGACCGCTTTTAGTATACCCCACCAACATTGTAGTCCAAGAAACAGCATTCCTCTCAGGCATCCTATCAAACACAGCCCTTGCCGAAACCAGATCCCCACTATTTACATAACCCACAACCATGGCGTTCCAAGATATCACATTTTTTCCTAACATCCCCTCAAACAAAACCGAAGCACTCTCCATATCCACCCCACCTCTCGCATGAGCCCCCAAAACCGCATTATAAGAAACAACATCTCTCTCACACATTTCATCAAACACCTTCCGCGCCCTCAACACCTCCCCACATTTCCCATACATATCAATCAAAGCGTTCGAAACCGGAACACAAAACCCAAAACCCATTTTCACAATGCGTCCATGGACCTCAATCCCACCACAGAGATCACCCATCGCAGCGCACGAATTAAGCACGAAAGGGTACGTATAGTTATCGGGTCTAATCCCAACCGAGACCATCTGCGAATACAAACTCACCGACTCGGAACAGAGCACGGAGATCTTAGAGAAAGCCCTGACAGCGTGGTTGAAGAGGGATAGATTTGGGTTGGGGAAAGAGGTGAATACGAGGTGGGTATAACGAGGCGAGGAGGAGAGAGAGGCGTAGAGAGAGATGAGAGTGGAGGCTAAGGAGGCGTTCCCGTGGAGGTTTGAACGGACGATGTGGGCGTGGATTTGTTTGAGGTGGCGGAGCGATGTGCAGGATTTTAGCAAGGAGGCGGCTCCGTCTGCTTTGTTGTTGGGATGGTTTTTGGCGACCGTTGCTGCGTTCATCTCACTTCTTAGAAATTTCAAAGTTCGTTGGTTTAAACGGCTCTTTTCTCTCTATTCTTTCCCGGTAAAAAGAGAGCGTAAGGGCATTTCGGTTTTTTTAGCCGTGTGCGGAGCTGCATGAACCCACTTGGATGTTAAGAATTTCGAGCATGAAATTTCTCATTTGGATGAATTCACTTATTTTATTTCTTATTTAAACTCCATTTATTTTTAGTGAATATGATTTTTTTGTCATTATGTTATCATTGTTTGTGTATCTAAACTATAACTTTACTCTTTTTTTTTCTTTTTTTTTTTTTTTTTTTTTTTTTTTACATAAAGATTGTTGGACATAAATAATATCATAATATAGCAACAATACACATAGCCCTAATTTCTCACAACATACTTGATGTTCAGAGTGTGAATTCCGTCATTTCTAGTCAATATCATATTTTACATCGCTTTATTTTCTTCAATTTTTTCTCCTTGGACCTATATTTTGTCTTACATCGTCACTGTGTTAAGATTTAAATTAATGAAGATTAACTTCAATATTTAAACTCAGATCTTCAATTCATACCAAAAGAAACGAGTAGAAAAATGTATAAGAAAGGAAAGAGAGTTATTCGTTGCAACCTCTTAAAATGTTTGATAACTTACTTAGCATGTCATGTCAAGCATAAGGACATTGAAATAAAGTGATGCAAAAAAAAAAAATTATATCAAAAGCAAAACAGTAGAACTTTCATGACTTAAATGTCGGCAGACATTTAAGCATCTTTACACCATCCATGAACATATGAAATCAGCACAGACAATACTAAAATACATGTGTTTACTTCAGTTGCTTAGGACATTGCATCCGTTCATCCTTTGCTTTTTCATGGTTTATAGAAATTTATAATATCGTCTTATCAGAGGGGGCGGATTGATACTGCTGAGTAGAATTATGCTCAAGCAAATTTTTCAAGAGGATACCTTGAGGGGAAATTACCATGACACCGATGACCCATATTATAAGGTCTCTCACCACATTTGAAAGGAAGAGGGTTTGCCTGCATGAACAAATAGTTCCCACCAAACAAGTCATTCATGTGAGCCTGCCCATGCTTCAGTCTCTTCAAAGCTTTGCTCCACGAAACTTTAATCCTACTGAAAATCCTAGCTTTTCTCCTCAGGAACCTTCTCAATCCCTGAATCCGAACCCTCGGCCGCCTTCGACCGGTTAGCTTCCTGATCTTGGACCAACCCCTTATCTTCTTGAATTTAATTGCTGTGTTTTGCTGATCTGTTTCTTCATCAAAGAGACCTTCGTTTCTCAGTCTTTGGTAAGCAAGTTCTGAGACTGAAGCCATTTCAAAGTGGAAATGGTTATGAGCTAGAAGGAGTTGTGAGAGGAATTAAATCAGTCTTTTTTTTGTTTTAGTTTCTTTAATTTTGTACAATTTAAAGTGAAAGAAAGTAGTTTGCAATGAATGCAGCTGAAATATTTGGTAATGGTAGTTAAAATTCCGTGACAACTTAAGGCTTCCTAGGCTTTATCATGCTACGATCTCTTGTGATATTTCTCTTATGTTGAAAGATGTTTCAAGTTCAAATTTCTCGTGCTCCAGTTATATGATAATCAACAAAAAAATATCTTGCCAAATAGTCTAGAGTATGCAATGTTATCGAACTATAATATTTCAACCACACGTTTAATTAAGAACTTATCAGACTAATATTCAAATTGATAGTAGAACATAACATACATAACTATCTAACAAAAAATTTCCCATGGTTATTTGGGAATAGTGGCTGTTTTGGGCATGTGCAATAGGTGCTCTTGCACAAGACTCCCAATTCTAAAAGCCCCCTAAAAGATGGTATCATTTACATATGTACCAACTTAGTTTGTGGCAAAAAAAATTCATCAATTTTTCTAGATTCTGTATGTAAATAAGAGAAATATTGCTTTCATATGCATAAGAGATCATTTTTATGTTTTTAGTAAGATTATGCCGGCTTTGCTTTAAATTTTGTTTTCATTTATTTGTTTCATGCTTTTTGTTGATTTAAACTGTAACTCAAGTAATAATTCTTCATTTAGATCTTTTACTAAAACAACTATGGACACATAAATTAGTTTTGTAGCAAAAATATTTGTATAATGGTCAGTTTATTATCTTCCCACATGACCCCTAAAATGTAAGAGCCGTCCCAATCTAGAAAGTCAAAACGAATCAGGATGTATGATTGAAACTAGACGTAATTTCGTAGAGCTGCTCAACCAAAACCGTCCCCACCCTTAATTTATACGAAATAGACTTTCATGGCCCATAAACCAGCCACGTGCGAACGCACCAACGTCAATATCATCTTCTATAAGCATAAGTGCGCAGGTCTAATAAAGGCCTGGTTTAAAAAAACTTAAAAAAAAAAAAAAAAAAAAAAAAAAAACTTTTGCTCATAAGATCATCTTCAACCCTTGGGCTAAAAACCAAATTTTTTAGCCCGAAAAATTTAGTTTTTAGTTCAGAAACAGTTTTTCTACTCCAACTCTTCTGGCCTAAAATTTTAGTCCGGGATTATTAAAGAATGAATTTAGGCTAATTTTTTTCTTAAATTAACTTCTTCTTTTTTTAAAAAAAAAAAAAAAATTATGTACACTATCGTAAATTAATTTTATGAACATTTTAATCTAAAAATATTTAAATTCCAATCAATATTGAAAAATCACTAAATCTTTCCACAAAGCAAGCCTTAAACTTTCACTAATCTTTTAACTTTCACCAAACTTTTGTATGGATGTTTGAACAAATACATAGGTATTTATAAAGTTTTTTGGTGAATTTTGAGTTAAATAATTTTTGAAAATTATTTTAGCTGTTGGATTTAAATTTGGACCGTTATATCTTTTTTTTTTACCATTAGATTTGATTATATTCGATTTCAGCCATTGGATTCAATCTATTTTAAAATAACATTTAAAAAAAAAATTGAATCTAGATTGTTGGATCAACCAACGGTCCAATAATGTCAACCGCCTGATGAACAAAAGAGTCGTTGGGCTCATAATTGCTTCCAACAGCAGCCTTGACAGTGGGTCCCACCTTGTCGGGCACTGAAGGCTAACGCCCGCGTGGTGTGAGTGGCACTAGTGACCGGGTTGAGAATGGGCTGGGCTTGGGCGCGTCCACGCTTTTCTGGGCTAATTCTTGGGGGGAGTTTGGCCTGGCTTTGGCATTTGGCTTTTAGCCAATGATTCGGCTTGGATTGAGTTGGGTTTTTTTTTTTTTTTTGGGGGGGGGGGGGGGAGGAATGAATGGGGTAATTTGGCTTTTAGCCCAGGGTTGGAGAGAGTTTAAGTGCTTTTAAAAATATATTAGTTTTTTTTTTGTCACTTGTTGGAAGCACGTTTAATTTTATTTTTTTTTATCAAATATAATAAAAAATAATTTTGATAGCGCTTTTAATTATTTTTAGCACTTTTAAAGAGGTTTGTAAATTTTTAACAGAATTAAAATAAACAAACAGATAAATGAAAAAAAAAAAATAGAAAACCCTTTGGTTATAATCATGAGAAATACAATAAAATGTCTTCTTTCTTTTGCAAACATGAATTATTCTCATCCCCATCTAACATTTTTGGGGATCATATATATATAGTAGCAGTACTAAAATCAACAGAGGACCTCAATGGTGCATGAACCTAACCCACTCAGACATGCTAGGAGTCCCACCATTCACAACAGTAAGCATGTAATAGCCAGAGGGTGCAACATTAGCAGATGGAGGAGCCTCCACAACTGCGTGTACCAAACCACCCTGCGCCCTAACCAGACTCTTGCACCTCAGCTTGAGCAGTCTCTGGTTCATGGATATGGAGTGCGTCGTGAAAGGCGGCGCGTATGCGGTAAACTCCACCACATCGCTTGGCTTCCTCTCCAAGAGAAACTTCACATTAAAATCTTCCCCATACCTCACACCATTGTAATTATTTTGACCATATTGTATGGTCACATTAGTAGGTCTATATGTATGGTATTTCCTTCTCATGTAGTGTGGGACAAATGCTTGGAGCCTAAGCTCAGTTGGGTAGGCCACATTGCTGAAAGTGTACCTGTCATGAGGGTTTCCGCCACCAACTAAAACCCGCCCATCGGGCAAAAGAACGGCTGAGGAGTGATACATTCTTGCAATTTTCGTAGACTTGAGGATCGAAAACCTTTTGCCTAGTTTGTTATTTGGTTTGTAGAGGTAAGGCCGGAGTGAAGCATTTCTTGCATTGTTCCATCCACCCGAGCCACGCTTGGCACCGTTGATGATTAGGACATTTCCGGTTGGGAGGATGAGCATGTCGTTGAGAAGGCGAGGGCTGGGCATGTTCTCCATGTTCCACTTGTGTCTGTTCCCAGTGATCACCATTCTTCCACAAGAGCTCAGGCCTTTCAAGAACCTGTTTTGTCTTGTTGCTCTGTAGGCTCCTGAGGCAGCGCCGCCACACACCATGACTTCCACTTTTTCGAACCTGTTTGCATGGTCTAGAGGGAGGATCACTGATGAGCCAGAGCCTGGATAGTTCCTTGAGCCATCACCGGGAATGCGTGGGAAGGTTTTGATCACCCTGTTGCCTTTGTAATCGAAAAGAATGGAGTTTCGGTTGGCAAAGATGAACAAATTTCCATCTGATGAAAGGTGAAGGAAGGGATAGAGGTTGTTCCCTCCTTCGTTTCGGTCATAAGTTTGGTGCAAGAACGAAAGCTCATGAGCGCCTTCATTGGATGACATTTTTGGAACAAATTCGTAAGTAAATGTCCTTCTTCCACCAACCACAATAACCCTATCATGTTCCGGGAGCAATTGATTTGAAGCGTACCAACGATCCTTAGATAATGATCTTTCTGACTGCCTCCAATTACATTTTCCATCACCACAAGGTCTATAGTATCGAATTATTCGCGAGCCACTCCCATATCCGCCTGTCTGCAGAAGTGTCCCGTTGCTCAAGAAAGACCCCGAGGAGCACCAGGTATCAGTGTACAGCCTCAGAGGCCTAACTTTGTTGCTAGAAATGTCGTACTCCACGGAGTGAGCATAGCACGACGAGTCTGCTACGTCATCACGGTTATCTGTGCATCTGTTTCCGTTGTGGCGCCTTCGAAGCCTGTACCCCGAAGGGCCTGCTTCTGTTTGATCAAACATGATGACAGTGTTGTGGTGTGTCAATGCCATATGCATGGCCACCACACCGGTGCTGTTTAGTAGCAGTTGCCATTGCCCTTTCCGGCTTCCTGCAACCGTGCCGCTAAACCCGATACAATGCAGTATGAAGAACAAAGCAGTGATCATGGATTTGATCACAAAAGGGAAGTGATTGTGGTGCGCCATGAGAGAGTATGAGTGTTTCTTTGCGTTTGATTGATGTGAAAGAGTGCAGTTTTAAATATATAGGCTAGTTGGCTAAAATTTAGTCTGCTCACTCCCCCAAAAAGTAGCAGAATTTTTTGAGACAGATTCTTTATGTGAAAGTTTTGGAGCTTAATATGGGGCGTTTGGTTATGTAATGTACAACTTATTCGTTCGTTCGAGTTCAAATCTTATGCACTCAAAATTCTTTGTGACCTCCTTATGACTTATTTATTCGAGTGAAATGTGTCATTTTGACTTAATTTATCTTTAGTTTTTAATTTTTTAATTGAGAAGATAAATTGAAGAGTTAATACTGCTAAGTGGAGTTTAAATAAATGACCATGTGTCAACAATTAAGATAGATCACAAAGAGACCACAGAGGGTTTTGAGTGCAAAAAAATTTGATCTTCATACGATCCAAAGTAATTTTTTCGTGTGACTATCACACTTGGTGTTACAATTTCACATGGGTTATAAACACATATTTTATTCATTATTGATATAAGTTAAAACTAGGTTGGAAAAGTATCAATCCTAACGTTCCGTCATATCATAACACGTGCATTCTAAACATCACGTGTTGCTATGAGAACTCATTGATCTAAGTTATAGCTTAAGTTGGAAAAAACCAACATTTTCATCTATCCGTATCATAAAACGTGAATTAAAAGCACGATATCTGGAGTGACAACCACACTCAAAAGTTTCTCATGAAAGTATTTGTCTTCCCATAAAATAAGTCATCTTATCCTATGAATTCTCCATGTTTATTGCTTATGAAGAGTGAGCCTTTGGGTGATACCACAAGACTCCGCCAAACTTGGGCAAAATGTAGGTAATTTTTTTTTTTTTTTTTTTTAATTTACAGCGTCAGTAGGTGCACGACATGTCATTTTTATGTTTGTGTTAGGACATAGTTGGTCTCGAAACGACATGCTATAGCTGATGAGTACTTGGTAGACAAGCCACAAGGTGAGATTTACTACTGACTGATTACAAAATATGTCTTGTGTACATATATGAGGCATACAACCAGTTATTAGTTGAATTTAATTGGACAAAAGTGGAAATAAGTAGACGCGAAAACAACGACATGAAACACAAATTCAAACACAGAAGTCGCCATAGGAGCAATTCTAGCTGTCGGCGTCCAAGTCCGACCAATATCTCCAAATGTCGACATCCTTCATCCAGGAAAAGGGAAGATATGTACAAGGGACTCAGTTCCTCTTGATGGAAGACATTGCAAGGAATGGAAATGAACTCAGAGTTGAAGTTGCAGCGGTCCAAATTTCATGTCAACATTTAATAGAGCTTTATTCGGGTGATTATGCTGGTTCTGCATATGGGACATAAGTCAAGATCTTCTCCACAGTCACAGCATGTCTGCAAACAATATTAATATCCAACTCAGTTATTCGTTGTTCAAACTTTCATCCAATTCCATAAGGTGTAAAAGACGTATAAAGCATTACCTGATGTCCACAGCCAAATGCCATATTCTTCGGATCGGTTAGGCAAATGGGACAGACCTGCAAGAATCACAAAAATTGTCTAAACTTGTCATCCTGACGAGATTTTGCTGTCTGTGCCATAATATATTAAGCCTCCTCATAAAAAGAAGTAGAAAGAGGGCAATTACATGATTGTCGGAAGTTGAACCGGCAGGATGTGCTGTGCTAACAAACTCATCACGTTGCCTAGAAGGTGCACTTGGACGAAAACTACTTGATCGTGAAGTTTTGGGGGAGCTAAAAGAAGACGAACCATAATGAGGTGGGGGCAGAGGTATCCTATCTATAGCCTTCCCTCTTGTGGCACTGTATAAGCAATGAAACGAAACAATGATTTGCAAATGAACTTATGTCACCCAAAGCTGCAATAGCAAATCCTCAAAGCCCATTAGACTTAAGTTAGATTATTACCCTAGTATATTAAGTTCTAGTGTTGCTTTATACTGGGAAGGTATTTCCATCAGTGCTGCAAGAGCAAATTCTGCTTCTTTTCTCGAACGGTCTATATTCTTTGCCATAATTTCCGTAAAATTCACAAACTGCAGAGGACAAAAGAAAACAGCACTTTTCAATTAAAGTTTGAAGAGATAATAGATAACAAGGCATACATACTCCATCAAGATGATACCCTCTATCCCTAAAAATACTTGCCTGAAAGTTATCGAAGGCCCGAGCAGGGATGTTATCATCAAATTCTTTCATCATATCCCATGGTCCATCTCCGACACCAACTAGTATAATTGATAAGGGATAGTCGCTACAATATAACAGGAAAATCATGAAATCTTTCACTGAAAAGAACAAGACTGAGGAAACAAACATTCTAAGATTTACCTCGCTTTAACAATTGCATCAACAGTTTTCCTTTCCTGCGGGCTTAACTGGCCACGCTCGGTATCAACACTCCTGGTCACCTGTGACAATTTGTAGTCTACATTATACAAAATAATTAAGTGCACAATCATATTGCTATGCAAATCACTTCTGCTCAATCAGAATTTTTCACACGGGTACAAGTATAACTATAAGATAGAGACGAGAAGCGATATACCTGCCCATCAGCTATTATCACCAACACATGGTACTGACCGCCACTTTGCTCAACAATAGTGATGCCCATTTCAATAATAGGGGCAAAGGATGTGGGACCTGCCACGAGAAAAAAGGGTATGAATCTCCATAAGCAAATAACCAACCAGGAAAATAAAAAGGGAAAAGGAAGTGAAACAAATGGCAACCGGCAAGTCGTAGCTGAGGGACTAATTCTCTATATCGTCTCAATACGTCTTCAAAACCATTGCAATAAGATCCCTCATCCGGGTAGAAACTGAAAACTTCTTGGTCATGGGTAGATGCTGCAAATATACGAAAATCATGTAAAATCTCTATTGCCAAAACTCGACAAGCTACATTTGAAGAGTCAGACGACTGTTAGATGAAATACCATCTCCAAATCCGAAACAGGGAATCAAGTTATCTTCATCAAAGGAAGACAATGTTTTCCCTATAATTGCTATTCCCTGTTCATAGGGATTTTGCTCTTCTCCAATGTGATGCAAGCTTTTCCGATGAAATGACCTTGCACCTGATAGAAAAGTAAGTCAAGAATGTTTCACTATAACTTAAGAAAAGACTTCTAAGCACCGAGACCAGGGCAAACCTGTCCACTCGTTGCTTTTTGTGAAATCAATGCCAACAATAAGATTGGATGACTCAAGACCAGCACGCGCCAATGCATCCGTGACCTATCGAAAGAAAAAAGTGAGAATGTCATGATAATTACTCAAGTAACATAAGCAGTTACAAAGATTTCACATCATATTTGCTTCAAAGACAGATGCCATCAGTATAACTATTGAGTACATTGTGACTAAAAGAAAGTTCTCCGCGACAAAAGAAATTGGCTGCACTTCTTTTCAAGAAATGTTCGGCAATTGTATCAGTTCAATTACCATAAAATCTTGCATTTTACCTGGTCCAGGCTATTGTAATCATCATTTATTCTCCCAAACTTTGTACCCGACCCTGTTGGCCAAGCACTGCCATGGCTTTGAGGTGGAGGTGCATAATACTGCTGTGGCCGGTAGTCCTGGCTTGGCGGTGCATATGATGGTATCAATGGTGGCTGTGCATATGGTGCCTCTTGATAACTCTGATGACTCCAAGAACGTGATCCGGTCCCAAAAGAAGGATGTCTCGAAGTTGAACGTTTTGAACTCTTCCCACCCATCAGTTATTCTACTAGAACACTGCACATTCATCAAACATGAATTAATAATTGTTACAAATCAACCTCCGCTTGAGTTCACACTTTGAAATGCTCGTTCTTTTCATCTAACAATCACTAAGGATCACTTTACAGGAAATTAACTAAATCAATTATCCCGTTTGATTCAAATATGAACATATCATATAAGGCTTTTTATTCAAAATGATCCCATAATTCCTCGCTTTTGTGCCTGACAATGAAAATCGATAAACGTGGTTCCTGAGTTTGTCAAACCAACCCCTCCATATTGACAAATTTTTCACAGAATGACCAAAATGATTTACGGTGTACAAATTCAAGGACCACTCCTATTGATTTTTATTGTTAGGAAAAGTGAGTAGTTATGCCAATTTCAAGGACTATTTTGCTAGAAAGCCTATCATAGAACCCAAGAAACAAAAAGATTATAATTATAATAAGGGTTATTATACAAAATGTTCCTGAGATTTGCATGATCAATAGAAATGGTCCCTGAGATTGTCTACCATCCATGATTTTGGTACTTCCATTAAAAACTCTTTGGACAATTTCTAAGCTTCATAACTCAATCAGTTTTTAACCAAATTCCACCCATAATGTATCAAAATGAAAATAAGAAAATGTAGAACAAGATTATACCTATTTGAAAGCCCACTGATTGCCGGAGATGGCCGGAAAACAGCCTGAAAGGTGACTGGTCCGCGGAAAAACTGGAAAACTCACCGGAAATTGGGTAAACTTTAAACATTCATAACTTTTTCAATACTCAACAAAATCGAGTGATTCAAAAACGAAAATCATACTTCTCGACGAGACGAAGAGAATAATATCTTTCTTTACTGCTAACTCGCGGTGGTTTGGCCGGAAAACTACTCAAAAGTGGCTAACTCGAAAATGATTAGCCACTTTCGAGCCGTTGTCCGATCAAACCACGGCGAGTTAGCTTTCGAAAAAGGTACCATTCTCTTTGTCTCGTCAAGAAGTATTATTTTCGTTTTCGAATCACTCGATTTGGTTGAGTATTGAAGAAGTTATGAACGTTTAAAGTTTACCGAGTTTCCGGCGAGTTTTCCAGTTTTCCCGAAGACCAGTCATCTTTCAGGCTATTTTCCGGCCATCTCCAGCAACCACTGGGCTTCCAAATAGGTATAATATTATTCTATACTTTCCTATCTTCATTTTGATATATTATGGGTCGAATTTGGTTAAGAAATGATTGAGTTACAAAGTTTTGAAAATTGCCCATAATCGTTTTTAACGGAAGAACCAAAATCATGGATGGTGAACAATATCAGGACCATTTTTATTGATTTTGAATCTCAGAAACCATTTATATTGATCATGCAAATCTTAAAGACCATTTTGTATAATAACCCATAAAATAATCTCAAGAAAACTGAACAAAACAATTAACACAACCAGGGCCATCCATTCCAATTTTCAAGCTTCATTCACAGACAAAGAATCGGTCCGAATTCGATAATGCCGTCAAAATTAAAACGATTTCATATTTGAATTAGTGAAATTGAACACAAACCAGAAGACATCAGCACAATTTCAGGCCAAAAATAAAATGCATCAAATCAAATACATCTTTTAGCCCCCTATAAACAAATAATGCAATTTCTTGTTCCAATTCATGATAATTATCAATAAAGACCCAAACTTTTTCACAACCCACATTCCATTTCAGAGAAAGACACAAAAACCCAAATCATTAAAATAAAATAAAATAAAAGACTTAAAAAAAATTACAAAAATGGCAGGAAAAAGAAGAAGAATTGGTACCTCTCAGACCGACATTTTTCGAGAGGAAGATGATGCTTTGGAGTTTGGAGCATATCCGAGTTGACGAGGTTGTTGTCAATCAGAGGGCGGAGAAGTCTATGGGCTGAAGTGGTAACTGGGCAAACGTTTGTTGTTGTTGCAAGTTTGCAACTTGGCGACTGAAGAGCGTAATGCTGAGTCTATGAGAGACAGACAGGTCGACACTTGCGTTCGTAGTTTACTGGTGAAGGTTCCTACGTAGTTTCCTTCTAGATAAAAAAGGTCCCTTGCAGTGTTTTTTCTTTTGTGTTTTGGCTGGTAGTGTTGCCCTCCACCGAATTGACTTGGTTGCTTTTTTACTGCACATTACATGGATGCATATCCTGAATTCGTACAGGAGATTTGTAATTTAAGTGATTCATTATTTAAGATCTCGTATTTGATTTTTGTTTTTATAATATTGAATTGATCAAGAATTGAATGTTACGTTGTGTTATGTGGCACTAAAATTTACTTATTTGATATTTTTGAAATCGTATTGTTGTTAAGTTGATTCAATGAAATTTATCTCGTACAACTGAAGATTTCTTAAAGATAAAAAAAACTATTATTGTTGTTAAGACTTGTTGGTGAATATTTGATCCTTAAGATCTCAAATTCATCTAATTTCTTATATTTTTTTTATGTGTTTTATTTTTATTTTTATTTTATATACACACACACACACTTGGTTAAAAATGAAATGATGGTTAAAAATGATAATCGTGTAATGTCTCAATGTAAACCGAGTTAAGACGAAAATGCAATGAGACATTTCTAATAACAGTACCTTATCAATTTGAAAATTTTCCAATCTAATTTGCCAATCATCTCCACAACAGTAGGAATTTGAGGCACATCGAATTGGATTTAGGGGAATAAGGGTAATTTTTTTGTTATTTCCTTTTCTTCTGTCGAGAATATGATGAATGAATTTTTTTTTTACGATATATGTAAAATAATGGTATTAAAAAAAGAATTGTTATTGGCATTTAAAAAAATTACATTTTACACTTTTCACAGTTGCATTTTTTTTAAATATAAAAAGTTTAAAATGAAAATAAAAATTTTAAAATGTCAATAATACTTTTCTTAAAATTTTTTTTACTCAAAGTGCGACTAAAGACACATGCCTTGTTCACATCGCTTATAAAACTGCTCTCTATAATCATGTTGCTAACTTCTAAGAAAAAAGAAATTAAACAAAGAGATTTTTCATGACAGCTTCTGATGATATGCCTGCATCAAGATTATGGTGAATAAAGCTTGAATTTGTTTATTTGTTTGTTTGTTTTGTTTTTTTAACAAAAAAGCTTGAGTTAGGATTTAAGGCAAATAGCATTTCCAATAATTTGATTAGATGGGACCGTTCTTTCCCAGTTATTTCTTCCTTCATCAACCACATGCTAGTGGGTAAACTTTGGAAGCACATGTTATGCACATGATAAAAGGTTTGTTTTCCTTCTAGGGGTTTCGTCCTGGCATGAAACCTGACGAGATATAGAGTACTGCTGCATTTATCATATTTTTTATACTATATTTGTATCACTTCTCTAAGAGAGATAAGGTCCACTGATATATGCGATGATGCGGGATCCAAGGTAGGAACTTGTTAAGTTATTTTTAGAGAGTTTATTAGGAAGGAAAGAAGATCCTCTCCGGATCCACTTTGTGGGGATTCTAGGAATCCCCACATCCTAGTCGTTCATCGTACATCGTGCGGTCAGTTTTCATCATATACTATTTGTGTTTAATTTTAAATAAAAAAATTTCAATAATTTATAACAACACGATACACGTTGAATGACTAAGATGTGGGAACCCCTAAGATCCCCACAAAATGGATCCGGATGAGATCCAATTCCATTAAGAAGTTGTAGTCTATTTATGTTCCTTTATCATTAGTTCCTTTAAATATTGATGTATTAGAAGCCTTTGGAGGGGAGACTTGCTTTACTAAAAAAATGTATTTACTTAGTGCAATCCTTCTAAAATCAAGCATTTGGTTTGGTCGTGTGAGTGAATACACGATTAACAACGTTGACCAAGCTCTGTTGCCCCTTGTTGAGCGATTCCAGGTTATCTATCCTTTGTCCTCGCTTCTTCCTGCATCATGTGAGTCCCTTCTTTATTAGAAAAATGGTACAAATATGATATGAAAAATGTGATTAAAAAATACTTTTGGGATACATATGAATATCAAATACAAGAGTTGTACTTGTCACCGTTTAATTAGAGTGGTAAGACTCTAATAGGATCCTCTTTGTGAGGATCTTGAGAGTTCGTGAATCGTGTCCATTTATCGTACATCATGTTGTCAATTTTCATCAAGCATTATTTGTATTCAATTTTAAATAAAAGAACTTAAAAATTATTTTTGACCGCACGATGTATAATAAACGGACACGATTAACGGATTCCCAAAATCCTCACAAAGTCATTTGTGGATGAACATTTTTCATTTGTTATCTGTCACCTACGATACAAAAAAGACCATATAGAAGCATTTGACATGGCGGCGTACTGGCTCCACCATAACCATCCCAAGACCTTATTGCAAAACATCTCTTCTATTGCCGTGTCGTTTGGGTATTTTATTGATCTTATCCATATTTTGTACTTGCTTCCCAAAAGGCTGAGAGAGGAGGAGGGATGTAACAATCCGTCCCTAAATAGTACGAATTTTATAATTTTAAAATGTGAAATTAAGAAAATGCCCTTCGAGGTAAATATGTTGACTTTTTTGTTGACTGCATTGTTGTGTCATGTAAGATCCATTTTCTTGACCTATTCTTATAGTACTCAGTGTGACGGATGCGTGGCTGCAAACGGAATGTAATTTGGAGTTATAACGAAGAAGTTATAGGTGAGCATAGATAGGGGCGAATTGGTCATTTGACCATCATCTAAAAGGCTCTAGATTTTGCTAGAGTAATGAGGTTGTGCCACGTGTGTGGCTGTGGTGGAAAGAATATGAGAGAAAAGGATGGGTGCGGACCAATCAGAGAGGAAGGTGGGGAGTGAACCAATAGGAAATGAGAGAAATAAGGGAAATGAGAAAATAGGAGAAACAGCCAACCATGGCTGGATCCATTTGACCCAGTTTTGACTTTGTTTCTGTTTGTTTTCGGACGAGTTGGAGTCACCCACCACCACCACTAGACTCACCGACCATCCCTATTTAATTTCCATATAAACTTGACGGCTGTTAGTGGTGATTTCACGATGAACGAACTTCGTCTTCTCCGAAGCTCCATGGTGGTGATCCACCGTTTTTATGAGTTATGTCGTCGATCATCACCATCAAACAATATCTCTCAACCCTAGGATCAAAACCCAAGCCGAGATCGAGGCGTTAGAGGTCGTGCTACCATCGAATCGAAGTGCACCATTTATAGGGTTTTTGGTGGATCGTGGCGTTGTTAGGCCACTTCCCGGTTGAATTGGACTTTGGCCCAGGTATGAAAGTTGTTCCTATCATTGAGATCTTCATTCTTGTAAAATTTGGTGATTTTTGAAGTTGGTCGGAATTTGTGGGTTCCGTTTGCCGGAAACTGCCAGGTATGGCGGCGCGTGGCCTTTCAGGCTGCTGCCTTGTGGTGGTTCGTGTGACATCACGTGGGGGAAACCCCAGGTCCCTCCTTAGGTTGTTCGACGTGCCAGATCCAAATTCGCCATTTGTTTTCCCAAATTTTATCGTTTAGATATAGTTTTACTAAATGGTCCCTAATTGTGCTTAGGTACGTTGGCGGGAATCGACGTCATCCTTGCTAGCTCGAATGGTTCCCGGGCAACAAAATATCTGTGAGTGGACCCCTTCTTAACTTACATGTTTTATAAAATATTAGCCTAGCATGCATTTCATATTTCATGATTAAGCATGTTTTATAATATATTTTACGGAGAATTTATGAATTCTTTAAATTACTTTTATGGAATATTTATGATTTATCCAATTTACGTTTTACTAAAGGTTATGAAATATTGGAATTTCGCATATGAATTTCTACGGATTTTGAATATGATTTATTTTACGGGTTTACGAATATGAGATTCCATGGATTTACGAATATGACTTACTATGGATTTATGAGACGAGGTTTGAGCTTTTGAGCTCCAGTGATTTGATATGAGATTTTTAAAGTATGTTTTCGATGCTTATCTAGTGGGTTATCGTACAACACATCCACACAACATGGGTATTGATGTCTATAGCCATATGACAGAGTTGATAAGGAAAAGTGAGATATGATATATGTTATACCCTCAGTTTCACTGTCGAAAGCAGTGTCAAACAGCTTCACTAGCCACAGCTAGTGTCGGTGTGTGATGTATATATTTTCTTCGCCAACATAACCTGGAGTCGTACAGCTTCACCTTCAAGTGATGGGGCCTAACATGTTTCTTAACCGGCGTAACCCAGTGTCGTACAGCTTCACCTTCGAGTGATGGACAGGTATTGCCTTCAGGCCACTATGACACCCCTAGAGAGTACAATATTGATGAGATTTATGGATTTGCCTTCGGGCGATGATTGCACTGTTATTGAGCATGGTTTTACTCATACTTGTTTTACGAACGATTTCATAGCATGCTAGGGTTTTCAAAAAACTTACTATGTAGTACTATGTATGTGTTTTCAAAATAGGGGGGTTAGTATGTTCATAAAGAAAATGATTTTCTTAGTATTAGTACTTTTATTATAAACTTTGGTCCACTTACCTTTCCTGTTTTGCACCCCCTTAAGAATTAGAGTCGAGGCACACGATCCCGACATTAGGGCACTTTCGCTTAGGCATCTTCGAGCCTCTTTCTTGTGCATTTCATTCCTTGGTTCGTACCTTTCTATAATAATTCTTTAACATTATTTTTGCTTAGTTGTATGCTCTGAACACGATTCTGCATTAGTGTATCACTTTCCAATTACATATTTTAATTTGTATGCATGTTTAAAATGGCTTCATCACCCTCGGGTGATGGCTAGCATGTGCCCATTCTGGTATGGTGGGGATATCGGGATTATGGCGTGTCAAGTGAGGAGGAAGAAGAGGTTGATGCTGGTAGTTGCAGTAGTCAAGAGAAACCCAAGTGGAAATGACCAAGATGGCTATTGAGAGGTACAAGCGTGACCCGAATTATGTATAAGCTGTTATACGATAGGGTTATTGAAGTTTAAGTGGAACACTTGAAAGTCTGACATGGAAATATTGAAGGGGAAACTGAAGCAATCCGATATTGATGATGATGATCGGTACTGCTTGTCCTCTTAGTTAAGCAATGCTGCAGACTATTGCCTTTCCACCAACTCCATGGAGGCCGAAGCCATCAATGCCACTTTGCTCCGTTAAAGCATTGCTAGGAAGTTTTTCCCCAAAGAATCATATCTGGAATATCAAGCTGTTGATGAGGTGCATTAAGTTGAAAAAATAGAAGACCGTTTGAAGGAGGTTGTTTTCATTCACTTGGAGAAGGTCAGCCTTATTGGAATTTGTCAAGGAGAACCCTGCAAGTTTGAGACATATTTGGAGGAGATGAAAGCGGACAAGTCCAAGATTGTGGCCGGTGCTCTGTTTCCACCTTGATGTAAGAAAAGGTATTTGATTTTATTCTGGAAGTGGCGGTAATGGAGAATTTGTAACCTAAACAGATAATCAATAAGGTGTTTGTGTTCAGCAAGAAAGACATTTTCCACAAGGCTTATCCTTGACGGGAAGAGGATTATGCGAAACTAAAGAGGAAGTTTGAGAAGGGGTATGGCGATGCGGTACCACACATAGTGGTTTCTGGTTTGGTTTTAGGGATGGGCAAATACCTATTAGTTATGGATAATCGTGGTTATCCGTCTATTTAAATTTGACGGTTACGAATATGGATAACCGTTTAGATAAATAAACGGTCATGGGTATAACCGTTTATCCGTGAAATTTAAATGGGAGGTTTATGAGTATTACCCGTGGTTATAAACGGGTACTCATTTAACCGTTTATTTTAACATATGTAAAACTAAATAATAAAGAAAAATTAGTTTCTAAGTAGTTTTAGTTCCCCGATATATATTTGGTTATAAAGGGCCATATAATATATATATATATATATATATATATATAAAAGTATTTAATTTCTATTGAAATCTAATCCCAATCCCCCAGTGCCTGATATCTTTCTTCTTGTAGACTACATAAGTAACAACCTCGGCACCCAAGTAATTGAACGTATCTTCTTCGATATTAAAATAGCGAAAAATCATAGCTAACATCAAATTAACAAGCGGAAATGGCAAAATTTCTGTCCGTTGTGAGAGCAAACAAAAACCTAGTGAACAATATTTCGCAGCTTGCTGCTGCTGCAAGTTCTGATTTCTTGTCACATTAATTTCGTCCCCATCCTGAAGGATACTTAGAAGAAACCCAAAAATAATAGAAATAAACATATATATGCATGTTAAAACAAACTTACTAATTTAGAAAATAACTTATTTGCTCTGGGGAGATGCATCGGATGTACAAGGTGTTGTAGTAGAGTATAAATTTAGTCATAAGGTTTCAAGGCTAGTAAGGTAGAAGAAAAATCAAATGGGTTCAGAACTAAAAACCGATCGACTGGCCATTTTGTGCTGAAATGAACCAACCAGTTACTCTTTGGGTTTTAGGGGAAACTGGAACAAACTGGAGCATGTCACTGCACACTGCTAACAATTAAGTACAAAATCTTGTCTACGGTCACTTCGAAAAAGAAATAAGCTGCCTAGCCACAAATTTCTCAAAAAAAAAAAAAAAAAAAAAAAAAAATCCAGACTTTCAAATAGGTGAATGTTAGCAGTTCAGTAAAACTCATAAGCCAGAACTATATCAACTAGGTACTAGGATTACAATACAATTTATCCATATCAAGTGTATCACAGTGTATATCAGAAACTAATCATATAAACACCTACTTGATTCAACGCCATGGTTGAGATGCAAGTTAGTCTTCTACTCCCACTGCTCGATAGCTCCTATTGTGTGAATAGGTAAGTTAGTCTTTACTCCCACTACTCGATAGCTCCTACTGTGTGAATAGGTCTTAGTAATATCTTACGGTTTTTCACGTATGGGAGCAGGGACTATAACTTCATATATATATATATATATATATGTGTGTGTGTGTGTGTGTGTGTGTGTGTATATATATATTGCCAAGGTTGTACAACCGGCCTATTAACAGTCGCGGATCCTTATCGCGGTAATAATGAATGAGTCCTATAATGATTCAATATCTTTGCATTCAATCCTTATCGGGATTTCTTTAAGTTAGCTGCATGGAATTAAGACTCCATAGTCCTTACAAAGTAAGGATTAACTATACTACTTGTATCACAAATAACTTGAGAATCAAGTTAGCTGTCGTCCAAGTAATATCAACTAACACTCATTGTGATTCACTAGGACTTTACAGTGAACACAATAGTTCCTATAAAAAATGAAATTTCTCCTAAAAACCATCGAACCGTGAATTTGTTCATTGAACACAATTGATTTCGAGCAGAAAATTAATAAAAAATTAATCGGAGGTTACGAATGCCGAATACAGTATGATGCTTAATTATAAAAGCTGTTTATTGATTTAAATTTGCAGATCATCTCTGATGATTCTCTCCGTCAATACAAATTCCTAAAAATTAGGTTCAAAGAAATACTCCTACATTATATATGGAGGTTTCTTGCACCTTACAGGACAGCTATATATCATATCAAATACTGGTACCGTGAGGACCAATTAATGAACTTTTGCTGCTATATGAGTAAAAACCCTATTCATATTGTTATCACCAAAGCTTTGAAAATGGCTAAACTACTCTCGGTAGTGAGAGCACACCAAAAGCATGGCAATAAAATTTCACAACTCGCAAAAAGATTTGTTACAACTCTTGTTGATCCTCCACCTCCAGAGCTCAAATTACCCACACACACTTTCTCCAAAGCCAATTTCAATTTTGACAACTCGAAAACAAGGACACGATTAATAAACCCAATCCCATTGATTGGCTTGATTACCGGCTTGCTTAGTACCGGTAACCCCTGTGTTGATCTCTTTTTCAATGTGATCAAGCCGGAGAAAGCCAGCCCAGCTGATGTGGAGGCCACCTGTATTTATCTGAAGCAACTGCTGCCGCTGGCCTGGTCCCGCAATCCCCTAACTATTCTCAAACTCATCTGTAATCTACGAGATGAAATGTTCTATGTGGAAGCATTTGACACGGCAGCGTATTGGCTCCACCACTATCACCCGAAGACCCTAATGTGCAACGTCCCTTCTATATTGCCGTGTCGTTCGGGTGTTTTATTGATCCTGTCGAGATTTTGTACTTTCTTCTACAAGGCGGAGAAAGGAGGAGGGGGGAGGAAGAAGAGGATGATGCCACCCTAGCAGAATTGACCAAGATGGCTATTGAGAGGTATGGGCGTGACCCGAATTACAAGTTGTTACATGATAGGGTTACAGATGTTTACGTGGAACATTTGAAGTCTGATATGGAAATATTGAAGCGAAGTTTTAAGCAATCGGATATTGATGATGATGAACGGTACTCGTTGGCCTATGAGATGACTGATGCTGCTGGCTGTTGCCTTTCTTACAACTCCATGGACGCCAAAACCATCAATGCCACTTTGATATGTGAAAGCATTGCAAGGAAGTTTTTTCCCGGAGTATCATATCCGGAATATCAAGGTACTGATGACGTTCAATACGCTGAAAAATTTGAAAACCGGCTCAGGAAGGAGGTTTTGGATCCCCTGCAGAAGGCCGGCAGTTGTGGACGCTCCAAAAAGCAAGGAAAGCTCTGCGAGGTTGAGACATATTTGGAGGAGGTGAAAGCGGACAAGTCCAAGATTGAACCCGGTGCTTTGCTTCCACCTCAGATCTTGGCCTTTGCGGATCATCCCAATGTTGGGGAAGTGGCTGAGCTTCAATGGAAAACAATGGTGGAGGATATGAAAAAACAAGGCAAGATGAAAAACTGTTTGGCTGTATGTGACAATGACATAAAATTCGTAAGGGGAAAGGCAACTGAGGTCTCGCTGGCTTTGGGACTTTTGGTGTCTGAATTAACCCAAGAGCCATGGAACGGAAAGGTGGTCAGTTGGCACTCAACTCTACAAACAATACAAGGCCATGATCTAAAGTCCAAGTCCGAGTTTGTGACGATGATGGACTTCGAGGTCACTGGAGAAGACGAACTTTATATTGAGAAAGCGTTTAACTCGATTTTGGAACTGGCAGTGAATGACAATTTGCTGCCAGAGCAGATGGTCAAGAAGGTGTTTGTGTTCAGCAAGCAACAATTTAGCCATGAAGCTTATTCCTTATGGGAAGATGATTACAATGAAATAAAGAGGAAGTTTGAGGCAAAAGGGTACGGCGATGCGGTGCCACACAGTGATTTGGTTTATGTCAGATCATTGCTTCGATTCGGAACCTGAGAAGATAGGGATGCCTTGGACACAACGGGGGATGACTATGTTGAGTGGCTTCTCTGAAAATTTGCTCAAGTTGTTATTGGAGAATGAAGGGGAAATTGGCCCAGAGCATGTCATGGAAGCAGCCATCTCTGAAGAAAAATATCAAAAGCTGGCTGTAGTGGACTGATCTAAGACGATCATCCATCATCCATTTTAATTATTTTTTTCTTCTAGAGGGGATGGTATGAGGGAGGCTTGATTTTAATTAGTTTTTAATTCATATTATCTAAATTTTACATGATTATCAATAAATAGTGGTAATATTAATCATAGTTTAAAAAGGCGCGCGATAGTGGGTAATATGGCGCGTTATATCACATTATGTAAGAGATTTTGTAATATAACGTAAAAATATCACAATAGTCTCACATAACATTTAATTTTTACACAAGATTGCACAATTTTGCGAAATATGCCACACCAAATTTGTTTGATGTTCCTTTAGCTGACGAGAATCACCACATCCATCCTTACACTGAAAATGACTACACTACTACTGATATTTTGCAACAAATTGAAAAAGAGGAAAATGAAAGACGTGTTAGTGACGGTGAGCATAGTTTGCATGTTGATGATATTTTTGATGACGACGATGATTATAATGAGTTAGTCTAGTGTATTTATGAGTAAAGTATAAGATGATGATATTCAGTTCTATTTACGTTATGCAAGTTTCGATTAACTTATTCGAAACCGGTACATAATACGATATTGCATAGCAGAACCTCTCACACAATGCGATTTCAAACTATGAAATAACTGCAGAGATGCTAAAAATTGTGCAAATGCACTCTAAGAGGATGCTTATAAGTTTATTAACATTGAAATTCTGCTGCTTCCTTTATTATTGGTTTTGATTTGGAAAATAGAAACGTGTTGTAACTTGTACCCAACAAACATTTCTTGTGTTCAAATTCAGTTATCTTCAAATTTAAGCAGCTCCTATATTATTTGAGGAGGTAAATTTCATAAAGCTCCAGAAACCACCTTAAACAATATTGGAGCTGCTTAATCCATCTCATTGTTTGTTCTTTTGATTGTATGGGGGGTGGTGGTGCAATTTCCTTGACCGGATTTTCTCTTTAGAGGTTTAATTTAAGGAAAACTAATGAAAATGATGTGAAAATTTTGAGTTTTAATGATAATGACAAAATAAATGGTAAAGTGAATAGTACTTGGATTGACTTTTTAGTGTAAAAATGTGGTTTTTCGTTAAATTAAACAATACTGGGAGTTTTTTTGTTAAAGTTTTCTTTAATTTATGGTGAGGTTTTAGTGAGGTCACTGCTATTATCCTTCCATTTTGAAACCCTCTTTGTTGAATGAATCCCATTTTCAATTAAAAAAAAAATGAAGGCTTTTTAACTAAAATAATCTTTTAGATTGACATAACTTCTCATTTTAGTTCTAGACAATAAAAATTGATAGAAGTGTAAATCATTCTAGTTATTTCATAAAAATTTTATCAAGATCTTCATTAAATTGTCACTGTAAATCATATGGTTGCATTTCAAAAAAAAATTTGTATGTTCTAAATGAGGATGGCCTAATTACATGGAAACTCATTTAATAATGAAAGTTTTAACGAAAAGTCCGCAGTATTGTTCACTTTAACAAAAAACTACATTTTTATACTAAAAAGTCAAACCTAATGCTATTCACTTTACCTTTTATTTTGTTCTTATCGTTAAAACTCAAAGTTTTCAAACATTTTTTTTTATTAGTTTTCCTTTTAATAATTTCCATTATTCTGGTCATTTCGTAAAAAATCTGTCAATATTTTCATTAAATTGTCATTGTAAATCATATGGTTGCATTTCAAAATTTTTTTGTATGTTCTAAATGAGGATGGCCTAATTGCATGTAATCTCATTTAATAATTTCCATTGATATAAAAAAATATTAACTAAATATTGAATTTATAAGGTTACAAATTATGCTTTACTGCAGTTGCAAAAAACAATTATATCGATGTAGTATGGTGGGGATTCAATTCCACTTATTCCCCTTCTTTTTTAATGCCAATAACAATTTTCAAGAATACAATATCATCAATGTGTACTCAAATATTGAAATTAGTTACAATACGTACGTACATGTACAATTATTTTTAAATATATGTATTTAATATATTACTAACTATCTGACCGTTGAAATGGTGATTTGATTAATACTTGTAAACTTAAAAAATATCCCATGTTTTTCACAAAAAAAAAAAAAAAAAAAAAAAAAAATCCCATGTATCCAATTATTTCATCATTTTGTCCTCCAAACGCAGCGTTTCACACCAGCAGTGGACTCTTCCTGGCAACAAACGACACTTTTAGCTGAAAACCCAATTCCGAAAACTTTCTCCAATTTCCTCATCGGTTTCTCACTCAGTTTCGTAAAGCTCTTTGGCAATGGAAGCTCTGGGATTTCCTTCTCTCAACACCCTCAGCATTTTGTGCTCAAGTTCTCAGAAACGAAAAGCCACCAAACCACCATGTCAAAGAACACATTTTTCAAGCATTTCACCTCCCTCTTCCCTAAAACTCACACCCTCTTACAGAAGTTACCATTTTGTATGTAAATTCTCCACTTTTTTCATGTTGTAATTATTGGGTTTGTTCTATTTTAATGCTTTTTAGTGTTTTCTAATGTGGGTTGTTCTTGTTCTTGATGTTGATCAGCAGAGGAGTGCCACTCGTATGCAGGGTGACAGTGAAGATTACGAGTTGAAGCAAATGAGGGATATGGCTGCTGCCAAAAAGAGATGGGAAGCTCTGGTATGTTGCTCGATTCCTAAGAAATTCGAAGACCGAAAAAACAAAACGATTTTTTATGTAAATGTGTTTAAGTGAGCTACTTAATGGGAATTTGAGAGAAGAAAGTAACATTCTTTTAGTTCTGTTTTTGGAGGTTGTATGATTTGTTCTGCATATGCTTTGTTCTGCATATGCTAAGTTTGAACTTACTGGGACTTGTTGATTTTATTGTCTATTTGAGCGATAGTCTGCACAGAAGTAATCTAAACTACGGGAGAGGGATTTGAACTTGGGATTTGTAACTTTATTGAGTCATTAGGATATGTTAAAATGTGTTACATTTGGAGTTTTAACCGGTTAGTAGAGGTTAGGGAAGGAAAGGTTAAAGCTTTAACACCAAAGGAAGCTGAGTATGCGATTCAGCTATCTAACAAAACCCTTCTCGATGTGTTTTTTCTTCTCTGAAGTATTCTGTGTTATTATGCTTGAATTACCCTCTTCTTTCCCCTGTTTTATAGGCATGGGTTAAAGGCTCGATCTGGATTCCATTAATTGATGTCGGTCAACTTGGGCTACCCCAAAAATCCGCTAAGGTATCAATCTCTTCCTATCCTCACGAATGTAGCTTCTCTGGTTTTCGCTTTGATTTTTATGGAAGGTATGAGATTTCTTTAAATTTTTGTTTGGTTTATGATTTTTTTGTGGATTGGACCATCTGGGGGCTGTGGGTTTCTTGAAGCTCAGAAGCTTCGGATTTTATGGAACAAATGGGTCTCAGAGAAGCAGATTACACTGCAGTGGCAGCGTAGGACCTGGTGGGCCCGGATTTGGTGTTGTTCTTACCTCTGTTTCTTCAAATTTTTAATTTCTTTTATATGTAATTTCTGTGCTTGCTGTTGAAATGAATATTCTGGTGGAAACTGTTGTTTTATATGAATTGGGGTTTTCACTAAATTAACAAAGATCAAATCTTTGTGGTTCTTTGTTGTTTATCTCAACCTTGCTTCACCCGCAGCCGGTTGAAGATGACGTGGTCCTGATCCTCGGTCGCTTCTGCGACAGTTCCGAACGACGGATTCAGTTGCCAAGCTCCGACGATTCTGTCTGTGGCAAAGAGAATTCAGGAAGAGTGGAAGATCCGGGAGAAAGATTTGCCAGGCAAGTTCTTCCGTTTTTTATTTTGAATTTCCTTTTAAATAACTGTTTTGAATTAATTGTAGTGAAGTTTTCACATACTTAGCCTATTCATTTTTATCAAATATTTTGCACTGACTATTTCATGATGCTGACCGCTGTAAGTAATTTGGTTTTGTACTGAAAGTTGGAGTTGAGAATATATGGAATATAGTTGTTGGATTGGTGCTTGTACTATAGAAACTTAGATGTGCTTACCCCCTTTTCGTTGACATCCACGAATACAATATTTGTCAGAGCTTATGAGACAAGAATGGATTGTGTGAGAGCTGTAATTGTTGGGGCGGAGGGTACTCCTTACCATGATGGTCTCTTCTTCTTTGATGTTTGCTTCCCCAGTGGCTATCCCAATGTACCACCAGTATGTGATAATTTTGAACGCCTAGAATTGATTTATATCTGTTTACATCTTTGGCCTAACTGGGAACTCCGTTATGCTGAATGTCTACTACCACTCTGGTGGCCTTCGATTTAATCCAAATTTGTACAAATGTGGAAAAGTATGCCTTATTCTTGGTTCTGGACAATCCAAATTGCATGTGTATTTGGTGGTTTTCTGCATTTTTTGCATCTTCATTTTCCTACTTTTGTGGTCTTTGTATTCATTTTACTGGAACAACCCTGCTTCTTTCTCATGGTCCTTAAACATGCGCAAGTTTGTATTTTTCTGATGGATTATACTATTGGGAACTTAGTTACTTTTATTTTTTATATTTGTTTGTTGGGTTTGTTGTTTTCGGAAAATTATTGAAACTCTGTATTCTGTTTATAGAGTGTTAAATGAGTATATGATTAATGGGTTGAATTTTGTTTTCGAAAGGACTGTTGCATGTTTTGTGTCAATTTGGCTGTGATAGTAAGATTACTTCATGGAACAGTGTAATTGTTGTGGCATGTGAATGTCGAATTTTTTCTTAATTTAATTTTGGAAAGAAATGTGTTTAACTGTAGAGCTATATGATGAAGTTAGCATCCTTATAGGTTGGGAACTCAAGTAGTGCAACCATTAGTTGTGCACATGTCTGAATATTGGTGCTTTTTCAGGAAAAGGTGATTTTTGTTTTCTGGAACCGTTTGGAGAGCGCACGGCTTGAGGATCTCTGACCCAAGGTAAAAGGTAAAAGGGAAAAATCTCTGGCTTCCTTTACTGATGTAAGCTTGCTTGAAAAAGAGAAACAATAACCAAAAATTTATCTGAACAGAAACAAGAATTTTGAAGCCAATTACATTGGATTAAGAATTCCTTAGGAGACAACTTGCACTTGATCGACAGTTTTATTTATTTACCTCTGTTTTCTTGCTCAGAAAATATTATTTCCAGCCCTCAAAGCTTAACCAATTGAAATTTCTATTCGGTCAACAACCAACACATAATTCCAATAAAAAAGAAGTAGCGAGAAGCAGAATGTAACATAGAGACACATACATGTGAAACTTCATAGCTAGATTTTATTATTTATCATAACTCAGTACAGAAAAATCACAGGCGCTGCCTTTATAGGTTTAGGGTTTTACCTGAGATAAGTTGCAGTGCACTCTCTGTGCTAAACGTTTTTGGATCCAAAGCAGTTGGGATGCTAAGTTATAAAGATTTTTCCCTTAAATTTCTGGGTTCTTTTGTGATTTCATTTTATCCGAATTATTCGTTTAATGTTTCAGATGCACTACGTTGCAGACTATTATTCTCTTTTGGCTATAACAAGAAACTTGATTGTATTTGTTTTGGGATCTATAAAAGGATATTACATGGAACATATCTGGGCTGTTGATACCATACTTGGATTCTAAACTCTCCAAAGCTGCCTTCATCTGGGTTATTTTCTCAACATTCTCTTTTTCGTTTATGGTTGGTTTCGTATACCATTGCAAGTGTTAAATTTGTGATTTGTTGTTTATGTAGTGAAAAATAGGATGGTTTTATTTTTTTGTGAGACTTAAGAGGTTACCTTCTGCAAACGCATAAATGGACTTTTGAAGAAGGCTTGTGACCTCTCTACCCTCTACGATGCTGAAGTTGCCCTCATGATCATCTTCTCTCCCTCTGGCATGGCGTGCCGATTTACAGGTCGTGGGTAACAAATAATTCAACTAGCTAGCTAGGTTTGATGATTATCTTTTCAATTAATATATGGTTTTGCTAACGTGTGATACAGCATAAATAGGACCATTTCCATGTATAGAGGTGAAGTAGGGTTGCCTGAAATCAAACAACTTAATTTTGTGTTCCAATATCACAAAGAATGGTGCAGGAATTTTGATATTTGGATAGATTTTATGAATTGTTCTAGAGCTATAGGTTGAAATGATCTTATTCACTTTGACCTTTTCTAGAAGCTATTTGTTAATGGTTGTTAATTTGGCAAAATGAGTTTTTCATGCTACTATTTTGTTTAAATGTAGAAACAAAAACTAATATCCATGAAAAGAAAGATGAGTTACAAGGAAAGATGGGATATCCGTTTAAGCTTGACTGAAAGTTAGAGTGTAATGCTTGGTGATTGTCTATTGCTACAAGAGGAAATGAAAAAAAACTTTGATATTTGATTCTCCGCATTGTCATTGCTGATTCGTCTATGAACATTTAAATTTTGGTTTGCCTTTATTAATCTTGAGTTCACTCTTTTCTATTTTTATTATATATTGTTTTCAATTATATAATTGCAGCTTTCAAAAGAGGAAGATGTGTATTTTTGTTTGGTGAGAGAGGGGGGAAGATAGTCAGAGAGGTGAATTATGTTGACAAATGGAATGGTGGATTATAATGTTGTATGAACTAGTGTGTTAGGATTTTATATGTTGTGTGAGTTAATGTTTTCTGGTCTATGTTGTGAATGATTTTGCATTCGTTGCTGCCAGGTTTTTGTCCCAGTGTTTATACAATACTTTGTAATATTTAAATGTAAATAATTTCAAATTTTTACAGAAATGGGTATAATGTAGACATAATTATGTGAATTACTGAGTTTTCGAAAGAAAGTAATTTCGATTTTTTGATATTCGGGCAGGCAAAAGAAGTGGAATTGAAAAGCAGAATGCTTTAGAGAAAGCACCCAAGCTTCAGGTAATAATGGTGAGTGTATTTTTGTGTAGAATTTGGATAAATTTTTTTGTTTTGTCAAATTACATTTTGCTGTGCTGCGTGGTGTAGAATCTTCCTAGAATCAATGCCTGAGATGACTGATAAAGGTTAAGGTGTTATTTGATTGTTTTATCTGTTTTTAATTGTTGGTGCAGAGCTTGACAAAATTGTAACCAAATGAGGAATATTTCATTTTCTTTATTTGTGTTTGTAATGATGTAATTCAGGTTCTGTTTATTGTGATTTTAAATTAAATGCCTTACTTCGTCTAAATCTTTTTGTGCCTTTGATTTGTTTACCAAAATCTCAGGAACTCATGATTTGAATGGGTTTGAGGGTTAGTTTCTAGGAATGTTCCATTGGTGTTCTTTTTCTTCTACACAGTACCAAAATCTCAAGTCCCCATTTGATCCTCGACTACGACCCAATCATATTTGCTGTAATACAATCATATTCTTGAGGTTTGGATTTTTTTACTCTCATGCTTCTGCCCATTATATGTTTCTGCCCTATCAGATTTGCTCATGTTTTCGTTGTTAGAAAGAACATGCATGTTCTCTAAACTAAAATACACTTCTCAGATTGCTGTGATTATTCGATTGGATTATCCTTATTTGCCTTCATATAATGGTGGGTTTAACTTTTCAGGTTAAAGTTTTTACTCAACCTCATTACTTGCAAAATTTTGTTCAGTCAACATTCAATACCCTGCCATCAGATCAAGTTAAAGGTACGAATTACTAAATCATACTATTTTCGTCACTTTTTATTCCTTGCTGAACACAATGGAGTGAATTGTCTTCATTTGCATTCTTGCATTTGAACTTAAGTATGTTCTTACCTGACATTTATAAGCTTTTGGTTAGTCATCAAATATGATACATTTTCTCCGTGTTTACAAACTTATGACATGCAATCGGTTTCTTTTTGGTTGGGTTGAAATGATATTGATTGTGCTGTTATAAAGCTTCTTTTTATAGTTAGGTTGTTAATAGATTCTTTTTTTTGGTTGGTCTGATATGTAATAGATGAGATTGTTTTGTTTGAATCAAAATTTGATCTTTTTTGTGTGAAATTATAATGGAATCGCAAAGTTTTCAGGTATCTCTTTTTTGTGTGAAATATGTGTGGATTGCATCTTGCTTTTGTTTCTTCTTCTGTCTTATGCTGCATCTTTTTTACTTTGAACATTAGTGCTTGAAAACTTAGCTGCTGAAACAAGAACGAAACACTTTTTATGTTTTTTTTAGGTGGCCTGTAGGACATATATTTTACCATCTTAACTTCAAGGGCAATATATGTGTAAAATGCATGTTGCTTCTGTTTCTCAGGGCAACAGAGCATTTTTTGCAACCACATCTTTTGTAATCAACTTAGTTGAATGTGTATAAAAGTCAAGCTGCTTATCTTACCGACACCGTTCACTCATCTATTCCTTTTGTTCGTTCATGATTATGTTGAATTTTTTTTCAAGTTAAATGTGTCTTATCATGTAGTTAAGAATGATGCATTCAAGTCCCGCAGAAATGTGCGAGCATATTTACTAGTCATTTCTAAGCCATTAGGAACATCAAAAGTTTTCCAACTTGTTGGCATTGCCTTGTAACTCCATTACTTGTGACAGAGATCTTGGATTCATTTCACAAGATTGTAGAAAAATTAGACATCGACGAATTTTATGAAACTTAGGACTTTTATTTTTGCTTGGATTTCAGATTTGGATACTCGTAAGTAGGTTTCAGTTTTCATGATCTTACAAATCTCCATATTTTGGCCTCCGAAGTAAATATCACCGACATCTCCACACGTCCAGCCTTCCAAACTAAAAATCGAACGTCTACTAATCCTGTTGTTTGATCAGAGAAACTATTTGAAGGTGTACATAGTTACACCGTTGAGAAATTGTAACTTCGTTCATAATAGGCGGAGCAGTTGCACTGTGATCCTTCTAATGTTACATCAAAGTCTAATTTCTGTTTCTCAGAAGACTGCTGGTTTAGACCTCATACAGAATTGCGATCTTCCTCTGCCAATGGAAGTCCTTACGTTGCAGGACAAATTTTTTGTGCCGAATAGGTCGCTGATGTTCGGTAGAACACCTTTGAACTGTTGCCATCCAATTCGGTTAATCATTTCCGAATAGTGATGTTTTTGTTTTGAGTTTTCTACCTCTTCGGCAAACATCTGCCGATAGTTCAAAAGTTCGGTTGGATAGTATCGAACTATTTGCATATCTCCTATTTACAGTCAAGATTCTAAAAGACGCTAGGCGCTAGTAGAGCGGTTGGCTAGCGCCTAGCGCCTAGACGGCCAAGCGGGGTCTAGGCGGACTAGGTGGATTTAAGTAGATTCATTATATTTCGTGTAAATAAATGTCGGTTTATACTTAAAATATATATAACTTTATCATAAACTACAAAATAAAATGACATTTATATTATGAAATATTGGAACATAATGAAAACATGGGGAACAAGTATATAATGTGTGTTAAATTAAATATTCAACACGTCTCTTACAATTTATTAAAAAAATAAAATGCAAAATGAAGTTATCTATTTTATGTCTAAATGAGTCGCAACCTAGGCGGATCTGGGCGGGCTAGGCGGGTGCCTAGATGGCCTAGGCACTCGCCTCAACAGGTATATGCACCCTTTCTTAATTTTCATACGTCTAGGTATTAATCGGGACGGTAGTTAGCCACCTAACACCTAAACGGAGATTTTTAGAATAGTGTTTACAATAGTTGCAGGACGAGTAAAGTTTGAAAGATAACATTATCATCTACGTGCGCACACGTAACCTCAACCCACAAGAAACGAAAAATCACCGACAACTTTTTGCTATATTCTTTGAATAGCTATGGCAAATTTGAATCCACATACATGTCTCGAGTCAATTTTGTTTTTTTTTCTGTTTTTCCAGCACGTCAATTTAAAGAAACTTGGGAACATCAACAGGAATCTTCCTGCTTCACCATAGTCAAGATCAGGCCTGCAGATTCTTGTCAGATAAAGAAACAAACACTAATTTAACATTTTATTTTCTTCAAGAGATAAGTCAGCTAGTCCGCCAGTTTTACTCTTCTTGGGGAGAAGACAACAAAAATTGGAGCGGTGCATGCATGCAAACAGTCACGATCTTACGTGTCTCCCTATCTTGGCTTATGTTATGAAACTTATCTTGCTTACTTTAAATTAATTCACGTGATTGTAAACGTGAATTTCCTGTGATCAATAACACAAGAACACGTATATAAAGTAATAAATTGGATTTCTTATGGATGCTTGGTGGTTTTTTACAAGTGTGGCAAAGAATGCAGAGAGCTTTCTAAATCTTCTAAGTGTTTGGGAATTTGAGGGTTTGGGAGCTTCAACGTCTTAGTGTGAGAATGATTTTTTTGGCTCCCTTCTTTGTCTTGGAGCCTCTTATTGATAGGCTCTCCAAGCCTTGCCTACGAATGTATTTGGCATTGATTGTGGACTTGATTAATTGATGGACAAATCAAGACTTGATTTGTGGCTTAATTTGTGACTTGGCTCAATCAATTAATATTTGATTTATTTAAATTAAAATCAAACAATCCCTTGCCGCCAAGTATTGACAGTGTCCCTCTTAATGACTCGTCTGGTTTTATTGAGTCACATGTTATGTGTACGATTTGTGAGACAAATGATGCATGCATGCCACATAAGTCCTAGCATGTCAAAATTTAATGTGTTGGTGAACATTTATTTTCACCAAAATTTCGCTGTCTACAATGATAATGCAGCTGTTTCTTTTCCAATGGTACATCTAAGGCAGCAGCATTAGACAAATGAGTTGATCAATTGTTTCAATACAGCATATGGGCTATAGCCTTAATCTTTCAAAATAAATATGGAGTAGCAACAGCTCTGAGAGGATCTTTTCTGTGTGGTTAAACCAGTAGATTCAGTCATGTCTAAATCCTCCCCGCTTGCTCCACCAGGCAACGCCGAGTCAAACTTGTGCACGATATTTGCCAACGCAATCTCATTGACAGCCATGGCAAATTGAATTCCCGGACATACCTCCAACCAGCACCAAATGAAATTAACTGAAAGTCATTCTCTTTATAATCTATCTCACTATTCAAGAACCTTTCTGGCTCAAACTCCCCTGGATTTTCATACAGTTTGGGATCTCTTCCAATTTGCCATGCATTGATCATAACGTGTACCTTGACTTTAATTTTGTAACCACCTATTTCCACATCTTGGGCCGCAATCCTGAGCACTAGTAATGGAACTGGTGGCTGATTTGTGTGTTTATATAAACCTACTTAGGGGGTAGGTGGTGTTCTTTCCTTAGCAGATGTGCCATAGTTATCCCAACGCAAATTTCATTTTCCTTACCTTGCTTCTGTTTTCTTTTCATTTGACTTACATTTTTTTTTTTTGGAAAGAAACACTGGTAGATTGATAAAATTCAAAGGGTTACAAAAGCCAAATAAGGCAGTACAGAATCCTCGACAAGTAAATCAACGATTACAATTGGAGGGGGAAACCAACCATTCACTAGCATGACCAGATGTAATACCGACACGAGCAAGCCGGTGAGCAACTCCATTGGATTGGCGTCGAATGTGGGTGGATAAAGCTCCATGATTGAGGAGATAAGGGCCTTGATGTCCTCGACAACCTAACCAATTAAGGACAGATTGGGGGAAGGATCCTTCAAAGCCTCCAACAATCTGGAGGGAATCTGACTCAAATAAAATATCTTGAAAACATCTTTTATTCTCTTTGAAATAATCATAACAAAAATAATACTAGGCGATGTATAGGACATCAGTAAGACATAAGGGTTCAAATTGTTGATGACCACTGGCTCAATATAATGAGATAAAACTTTATAGTTCTTCATCTAAAATATGTTGTCCATAAGAGGAAATAAGAGTCATGTAATAGCAACTTTGGTTGAATTGTTGCAGCCAATTTAGAATACTGTACTACAAAATCTTACATCCATATTTGTATATTCCAACGCAAATTTCATTTTCCTTAGCAGATGTGCCACAGATTGCTCAATTTGAATATTCCAACTCAAATTTCATTTTCCTTGCCTCACTTCTATTTTCTTTTCCTTTGATTGACTTAGTTATTGGTTTCTATGTCATCTTTTATTTTCTTTGAAGTAAACATAAGAAAAAGAATACAAGGCGATGTATAGGACATCTGTAAGAGATAAGTTTTCAAATTGTTGATGACCACTGGATCGATATGATGAGCCAAAACTTTACCGTTCTTCGTCTAAATATGCCATCTGTAAGAGGAAATAAGAGTCACACAATAGCAACTTTGGTTGAATTGTTGCAGCCCATTTAGAATACCGCAATACAAAAACTTAGGAGCTGCGCATAAAGCTTTGGTTGAATTGTATGCATAGGTGACTTTCTCTTTCTTTCCCATTTTTTTTTAGAAAGGATGATAATGGATTAGGAGCTGCACATAATGCTTAATTTTCGGGCTATAATAGTAAAAACTTTACTTTCAAAGCCCTCACAATGCCCCAAAAAAGAACCAAGCCGTCAACTACAAGTAGGCTACTTTTTTTCCGAACAGGTTGTGTTTAAACCTTGCTTTTAAACATTTTCAGACCACATTTGGTGTCTAAAATTATGTTGTATTGAATAAAATGATCATTAAATTTAACCGTTTTTTATATGTTTTCTTTATTTTTTGCTAGTGTATGGTTTATTGAGGCACTTCTTATTTTTTTTATTTTTTTATTTTAACAAACGATACTATCCACACTAAGGAGAAGGGGGTGAGCCTAACCTCATAATGAGTTAGCAATAATGTGGTTTAAATTTTCCTTTGACAAGAATCGAACCTAAGAAAAATTAGGTATTGGACCGAAAGAAACAGGGAAAAAAAAAGGGTAAAGACCCTTTCATCCAAACAATTCCATGTAAGAGAAAAACAGTTCCAACAGACACAAATGCTCCAATAAGGATCACGAAAATGGCCAGCAATGTAAAGGTGAAAGGTTGCGTTGTGGAGGGGTTTTTCTTCTCAAATTAATGCGATGCATTTCGGCATACAAGTTTGTCTCACTTTTTTCTTTCTTTCTTTTCTTAGCCTTGTGGTGTTATTTATTCTGTTTTAGAGGAGTTAGGTTTCATATCCCCCTCTTTTCTTTGTATCTTCGTTGTTTTTGTTTCTAGAGGAGTAAGGTTTATGTCCTTCATTTTTTTCATGTATTTTAATTTATCTGTTTTTTCTTGTATTATGAGGGGTTATGTGTTTAAATTCCCCTATCTAAGTGTACCATTTTTCCGATATCAATAAAATTTCCCTGATAGAGTCGATATTTCCTTTAAAAAAAAAAAAAAACAAGTTTTGCGAAAACGAGGACGTTTCATTCACCATCATCATAGTTTCAAAGAAGAAAATTAAACCCTTTTTTGCCAGGTGAAGAAAAATTAAACCTAAATATATATAAATGGAATGGCAACGGCTGTTATTTATTTTATATATAGAACGTGTTAGCCGTTGCTATTCCATATAGCCTCTTTCAACATGAAAATGGAATAGCAACAGCTCTGAGAGCATTTTTTCTGTGTAGGGTTATACCAGTAGATTCAGTCATGTCTAAATCCTCCCCACTTGCTCCACCAGGCAACGTCCAGTCGAACTTGTACACGATATTTGCCAACGCAATCTCATTGA